AACATTTGACCTTTTTAGCTGTTATACAGGTTCCTTCTGCCTCCCCCACCCAAGTTGCTGATGGAAGGCAAGTAGGGGGAAGAGAAGGGAGAAGGGTGAGGGGGATGCTTGCTTGCTTTCTCTTCCTTCCTTCCTTCCTTCCTCTTTCTGTCTTTCTTTCTGTCTTTATGTTTTCATTTGCATTCTTACTCCAGACCCAAATACCAGGCACAGGCTTCCCTTATAAACGGCATGCAGTGAGATGGTTTGTTACAGTCCTGGGAGACCAGAAGCCGGGCGCTAGATGGAGAGACTGCTAGGATGTTGCTCTGAGGGGCTCACCTGTTGAAGTCGTCCTACATGCAACTGTCGCCACAGGTGAAGTGTACCACAGTTTAGTTGTCAAGGTCTAGAAGAGCCAGCTAAGGTTTCAGGGACAGTGCTAGCGCCCACCAGGCCCAAGGGGGCAGCTGGAGAAGCCCTTTCCATCCAGGCACAGGCCGGGTGGCAAGGGCTCCCAGCCCGCAGGCCAGGCCCACACACGGTGTGTCTACAGTGTCAGATCCACCACCCTACGCTGCGGAGAGCTGGGATGTTTACAGATAATGTGGGCTGCATGCTTAGAACTACCTGCCACGCGCAAACCCTTGGTTCAGTGGACCATTTCTGTGTAGTCAACGACCCCAACACCTACTAGCCAAAAATAGTTGTCAGGAGAGCGGTGTGTGCCCGCGCACTGACCGGAGCTCGCACAACACAGTCGCTTAGGCAGGGGGACCCTGGACAGGCGTGGGGATCCGTCCTCGCTCGGTGGACCCTGGACAGGCGTAGGGATCCGTCCTCGCTCGGTGGACCCTGGACAGGCGTAGGGATCCGTCCTCGCCCGTGTGCCCACTCTTAGTGGACCCTGGCCGCGGATGCTGACCCAACCTGCTCATGCATCCACTCTTGGTTGACCCAGGCTGAGGCTGCAAACCCATCCTTGCTCGGTGGACCCTGACCGAAGCTGTGGATCCAAGCTCTGGACCCTGACCGCGGATGCTGACCCAACCTGGACCGTGGCAGAGGCTGCTGATGGACCCTGGCCAGGCTTGCTGACCTGTCCTTGCTCATCCATCTGCCCTTAGCAGGTACACCTTGGACTCCGGGAAGGGAGGGCCGCGGGCTTGCCCCAAGCACGGTCAGTCTTTAAGGAGAGAGAACAACTCATGCTGAGATCTGTGCTCCACAGGGTTGAAATCGGGTCCTCGCCACAAGTGAATGCACCCCAACAGCAGCGGGGGGTGGGGACGGTGGAGATAAAATCCTCATGCGAGAGCCACACTTCAAGCCTGTGTTGTTCTAAAGTCAGCTGTAATTTGTTCAAGTGTTGATTGTATATTATAGGACAAAAAATAGAATCCAGTAGAACATTTAGTTAGCCATGAATAATGGAAAGGTATAACATTTAGTTATCAATAATGGGGAAATATATAGAACAATAAATTATAGGGAAGTATGGAACCTAACAACAAACAACATATAGAATGATGCACTATGTGGCTTCTAGAAGAGTAGTGGATAATTCTAGAGTAAATGAAAATAAAAATTACATTACCTTTGAAAAAAGAAAAACAGTAATTGGTTCTTGTGTGTGTGTACTGTCAAATCAGATCTGACTGGTACAGGAGAAGACTGCCCCGCCTTCTCGAGCAGAGCATCTGGTGGATTCGAACCACTCACCTCTGGGATTGCAGCGCAGCTCCTTGCCACTAGGCCACCAGAGCTCCCTAATAATTTGTTCTTAATGCTTTCAGACATCTGGGCCAGTCTCAACACACAGTTCCGCTCCACGCGGGCTCAGTGCAGGCCCATCACTCAGCGGCTTCAGTTGGCACCTGGGTCTCCTTCTCCACGCGGCCTCCATGGGGCTCCTCTGTTCTTCGGGGTAACTGAATTTATTATATGGGGGCTGGACTGCCTTCATGCAGAGCAGTTGCCAGGCCTGGAGCTGGTTCAGGGTCACTTCTGCCACATTGTCCTGGTCAAAGTGGTCCCCATCAGGAAGGACAGCAGACCCCGCCTCATTGAGCTGAAGATTCTAGAATGGGCAGGGATTGCCACCTTGACATCTCCCTTCCAGAGTCATAAGCTCTTTACTCCGCTGTTAATTTCTTGTTCCCCCTGCCTCTTCCTTCTCCTTTTCCAACCAAGCACCCTCAATTGAGGGGTGAGGCAGAGGTGAGGGAGCAGCGTGGCCGCCAACAGTGTCCTGAGTTCACTCCCACGATGAGGTCAGAATCAACACTGGACCTGAAAACACCTGAGACTCCTAAAATCCTGCTGGAGTCAGCTCTGAGTTGGATTGCCACGACGACGAAACTTTTTAGTCTCCAAAAAGTGGGGAACTGAGTCCCATCTGGGTCACATAAATTCTGCCCCTCACAGCCCACCACACACACACCTCTAGTCCTGCGGGTTTCCCGTGTCTCAGTCTCTCTCAAGACCATGAGGCCTCCCCTCACGGGGGTGGCACCACCTTGGGGGACTCAGTAGATGGTGAGTGGGTCCGACCTGCCCAGGTTATATGGCTCCTGAAGGCAGGACAAAGACCCCGTCCAGATCTCCTGCCTCTGGACCATGTGTTAGTAATACCAAGTCCTGGTGGGCAGCATGAACAGAACTCCCCAGAGTCCACAGCCTGCCTGGGTCCTGGAACAGTCAAACTGGAGACAATGATCCCACAGCACACCCCCGAAGAGACACTCCCAGCTGTGAGTCCCTGGCTGACCTTCACATCTCTGTGCATCGATGTCCTCATTCTCAAGAGGACAGCCCATTTCCTGCCTGGTCAACATCAACACCAGGACCTGAAAGCAGCTCAGAGGTTCATCCTGGTACTTAGGAGCGACTGAAGAGCACTATGCAGAGTGAACTAATTCAGTCTCTTAAGGACAAATACTGCGTAAAACCATGATTATAAAAACAGAAGGATGTTTCCATGGATGGAAACACAAGGCGGGAAGGGGTGGGGGCAGAGGGGTGAGGACGGGTAGGGGTGAAACCACAGGGCTGCAGTTTGGTGAGTGGACAGGAGGAAGTAGGGAAGATCCAGGTGAAAAGACAGAATAATGATGGGCAAGGTCTAATGGTGATTATTTTATAAAACGTAATGCATGAGAATAATTGTATGAAAAACAATATGAATGAGGAAGCGTTTGAAAACACAATGGATACAAACTTTGTAAGCAAATGAATAAAAAATTTAATGAAAGGCAAAAAAAGAAAGAAAGAAAAAGGTTAATCCCATTTACCTGAGGAGAGGTCAGAAAGGAACAACTGGACAGCAGTAGGTAAGACAAAAGTTTAATTTTATAAAAATGTGATAATGCAGCAAGATTTGATTGTGTGTGCACAGAGATTTTTTTTTTTTTCTTTTCTTGGCTTTTTTTTTTCCTGGCAAATGAAGTTTATAAAAAACACCTGGAATAAAAATTACAAACATGACCTAATAAAAATCAGAACCCGAAACATTTCAAGAAAACAGATTTGTTCTGAACTACAGTGGGCGAAAACAAGGAGCAGCGGCAGCGGCAGCAGGAGAAAGCTGGTTCTGTCGTGAGGAGAGAATGATTAAGGACCGAGGTGAACTTGGCCGATCCCAGCAGGCCAACGAGGTGAAGGGCAGTGGGCAGGGTGGGCAGGAGCCATGAGAGGCGTGAAGGCTTCTCACAGGGACCAGGCTCAGGGCTGCTGGGACCCCCTGGTCCCCGTCGGACCCACCAATCAAGTGGCAGTGTTTCACAGATACATTCCGACCGGATCAGCACTGGCAGGCACGCTGCCTGCCTCCCCCTGACGTCTAAGCAGAGCACATCCCACTGAGATGAACCCAGCGGGCCAGAACGCGCCACAGGGTCCACCCAAAGCTAGGATGGCATGCTTGCCAGAGAGAATCAACACACTTTGAGGGAACAGGGCTGTGTACCCAACACCAACTGGAATGTCGGTCCCGGAGCCAAGGCAGAGTTTAGGATCACCCTGGAGAGGCAGGCCCAGAATGGCCAGGCCGCACCACCCCCCCGGCTTTCCCTCTAGGGGAAGAGGGCTGCGGGCGGTCACTGATAGGACCCGAGACAATGTGTTTACTACATTCTGAGGTAGTCTAACCGTGACTTGCACAGGTATCTGAGAATCATCACAGAAATAGTGGCAAGGTGGGGCCGAGGGCATAAGGAATTCCCATGGGGAGAGAAGGCTAACATGTAACGGAAGGAACAAGGCTACAAGTGGGCTCAGAGATGACCAGGGGGTGGCCCGGGGACTGGGTGGCCGGTGGCGGGGTCAGCGTGGACCCTGACGGAGTGTCTCATATTCCTTGACAAGGCAGTATTGTGCCAGGAAACGGAGGGACCCGCTCAGGGATCTCCCAGGCCAGAGAGGGGACAACTCTGAGGTGAAGGCTGTTGTTGGATGCGTGTCCAGTTACTTTCCAGCTCACAGGAGCCTCGTGTGACAGACGTTGGCTGTCCCACAGGGGGTTTTATGGCAGGAATCTTGAGGGGAGCGGACAGCTGCCAGCTCTTTTTCCACCAGAGCCACGGGATGGGGCCCAAGTGCGAACTGGTCAGCCGGCAGCCAGGCACGGGTGTGCTGTGCCTGAGGCCCCTCTGAGATGAGGGCATGTGCCCTCCATGCTGGGTCTCCTGCCAAAGACTCACGCCGTGGTAGAGGTGAGCCTGAGGACCTGCGGGTTGAGGGTGAGGAACCTCAACCTTCAACTATGGCTTGTCTGACGTCAGGACGTTGGGGGGAGCACTAACATTTGGGAGACCAGAACTTGGAAAAAGCTCATCCTTCCAATGAAGAGATCAGACCTTAAACCATTATTAAAAGAAAAACAAGAAGAACAAAACCCAGAGGCATCTGAGGGGCCCTACTCTCTTTTTCCTCAAATTTCCCTCTGTCCCAGCGCTCAGCATTCTAAGTCAGGATGGAATGTTCTGGAGGCGTGAGAGGCGGCCGCAGCAGCCGTGCGGACGTCAGTATTTCCTCTGCTTTCCACACTTGCGTGAGCGCCCGATCGGACGCAGCTCGCCGAAGTCTTCAACGTCAATTTCGTACTCATCGTCCTGAATGATACCTGTCAACACACCCAGAGAGCAGAAAGGGGTGACGTTTTCACTCCACTGGAAGACACAGCCTCCCCGTCAGGCGCGTTATCTCTGTCATCACTGCTTTAAATTAAAAATGCAAGAAAGTCTTGCGAGTGCTTCCCTGGGAGACTCAAAACAAATGTTTCTCTCTGAAATTCATTCTTTTCCAGGCTGGTCTTATCTTAGGGGACCACTGGCCTTATTTCAGAGGACCTTTAAATGGTAAAGAAATCAAGGAGACCTAATCTCAGCCACAGCCAGAGTTGGTAGACCAACAATCGATCCCAGCAAAAATCATATTTTAAAACAGTGTGTGTGTGCGCACGCGTGTGCACCTGTGTGTGTGCGCGTGTACACACGTGTTGTGAACCAGTGAGTTTCGATCAACTCATAGCTGACCCCGGGTGCCTCCCTTGTTCTTAGGATGAGAGACTACTTACCTTCCTCCTCTAAATGTAGCTCCGTCTTCCTCAGCCATTCCCTCGCATCCCTGACTGATGGGACCAGAGTGTTGACCAGCCGTGTCATCACCTCCTGCCCTAAAGAAGCCAGAGAACATCAGCTGTGAGTCAAGAGGCCACCGCAGGGTCCAAGCACACCAAGAGCCCAAGTCCCCACCCTCCGTGAGCTGGTCTGGGCCTGTGCTTCTCCAGAGAGGAATGACAGGTAAGGACCCTGTGGGAGGGACCAGTGGCCACAGCTTCAAGGAGGAGCAAATCAGCCACAGTTAAAATAATAGCCTGGTTCCGTTACCATTAAATTTGGAGAAACAGCCAGCAGCAAACTATTCAAGCAAGTGTGTGTTAAAAATGTCATTAAACCTTAAGCTGCAGAGGATATCTATCTGAATTACAGAATGTTTTAAAACATGCAATTTCATGAATTTTAAAAGTAACTTTCATGAAGGGGGTTGCTAAGAAGGGCTGTTAAGGAGGCTGGGGAGAATCAGATTCAGATATCGCATCAGAATTGTTTACTATTGAAGGTTTACTCTGGGTCTGGTTCAAGGACACTACGGCTGTTGTGTGACTTCGAGTAAATTCTGAATCCTAACCAATCTACAGAACAGAGCAGAACTGCCCTGTGGGACTCAGTCAGATTCCGGAGGCTTCTCTGCAGCCGGGGTGTGGGTGGGTTCAGACCACCTACCCTTCGGTGAAGGACACTGACCCTCCTTGACACAGAGCCAGTGCTCATGTTCATGGACTAAACAGAGAATCTTCACAACGTGGTGAATCTAGTTAATGCCGCTGAACTGTACTCAGAAACAATTAAACGGCTTCATTTCTTGATACGTGTGTGTATGTGACTATAAAACGGAGATCTCAGGATCTTAAACGTTCTCCTTTTCTCATCGGCGCTGCGAGGAGAGGAGGGCCAGCCCAGAACAAGGCGAATTCATGACTGAGGAGCGGAGGTTTTTGTCGTGACCTGAGAACATCTAGTTCTCACCTGTTTTCTGCTAGGGTCAAAAATGCACCCTTCCCTTGGTCAGACATCACCTACGTAGAAGCTCGGGTTCTACTTGTGCTCTCAAAAACTCCAGACCTCTGAACAGTCTCTAGCTGCACTCGGGTTCCTTTCACTGATTTTGTTCAGACATTCCTCTAGGTCGTATAGCCCTGGAGTACAAGTTGCTGTACAGCGGTCACTTGTGGTTGCTGTGAGGCTGAACACTGTGACACTGATGTGTCAAATGCGTTAATGGTTGGCTACCCAATGCGGACAGAGAGCGGGGTGGAGCTCCCCGACTGAACAAGCGTGGAAGGAGGAGTGGCGTCCACTTCCATAACAGTTTGCCTCCGGAAACCCTATGAACCTGGAGAGAGGATGAAAGGCACCCAAGCGTCAAGGACTCTCCTTCATAGGGTCGCTATGAGTGGCCTGCGACTCGACGGCACTGAACAACAACAACAACTCACCTTCAGCCCAGGCCTTCCGCCTGTAGAGTTCCTCCACCATGTCCAGGACCTTCCTGATGGTCTCCTGGATCTTCCTCTGCAGGATGTGGCTGTGCTCTTTCGAGCCCAGGTGCCTACAGATCCACATGCTCTGCTCGATGTCCTGCACCACCAGCTTGCCCTCGTCGATGGCCGGATCGACCGTCTCGCGGAAGAACTCGCAGTACTGCTGGTAGGCCACCTCCTGCCTCTGGTGGTACTCCTGGAGGATATGCTGCTCGTAAGACTCGTTCTCCCTCGCCAGGCTCTCTTTCCCTTCCAGCTCGGCCCCTCTGGCGAAGGTCACGGCTGCTGAAGTCACTTCCTCAAATGCCTCCCGGGGGCTGAAGTAATTCTCGGGACCGCGGATGAACTTCACGCCACACAGGTCACACTGGGTCCGGTCCACGTCGGCCTTCTTGAAGTTCCCGGTGCCGGGCTCCCTGGCCTCCTCCCAGCAGGGCTCCGTCTGGTCACACACCCTTCTCCGCCAGCTGACGCACAGGGACACCACCAGGCACACTCTCCTCAGCTTGCGCTGGACGGAGGCCTTCCACTGCTTCTGGAAGAGGATGGCCGCGAGCAGGTGGTCTCGGTCTTCTAACGCCGGCTCGTCTGCCTCGTCCGCGTCGTAGTCGTACTCTGGTTCCAGACAAGAGTCCACCGGGTCCACGCAGAGCAAGCGGCTCAGCTTGATCTCCTCGTGATGGAGGCCTCGCACCACCGGGCCCTTGGCGTGCGCGCCGTCCCACCGCCAGCTGCAGTCCATCAGGTACTCTTCGTCCCGCTCGAAGAGCAGCTCCTGCAGCGCCTCGGCCGCGGCCTTGACGGTGGCCGTGCCCACCCTCACCCGCCGCACGGCCCGGAGCAGCCTCTCGGGAATCTGACCCGGGAAGTCGTCCTCCATCAACTGCAGCTGCTTCTCCACCTCCTGGAAGTGGCGGCACAGGAGGGCCCTGCAGTTGGGCTGCAGAATCTCCCTGGTGTTCACCAGCATCACCAAGCTCAGCACCAGGGTCCGCTCTGCCTCGCCGGAGACCACATACTCCAGTTCGCCGAAGGCGTCGAGCAGGACGTTGAAGTGGGCGTTCTCGTAGCCGCATAGCACCTTGACGAGGTAGGTGAGGTGGAACTGGAAGTCCTGGATGGCCCTCGCCACGTCCTTGGGCTTGTACTCCTGGATGATGAAGAACACGCCGCCGGACTCCTTGTCCTTCTTGCTGAACAGGAACTCCCAGAAGTGCAGGAGGGAGATGTAGCTTCTGGGGAGGCACAGGATGGCCTTCTTCCAGAGGCGGGTCAGGATCACGGCGCAGTGGATGAACTGGAACTCCAGCAGGGCCACCGTGTTGCCGATGTTGGGCATCAGGGGTTCTTGGCAGCGCCGGACGAGGACGTTCATGAACCGGTAGAAGAGGGTCTTGTAGTCGTCGGGGTTCCTGTACACGTAGAGCTGGTCGATGCAGTTCTCCAGCAGGCGGATGAAGCACAGGTGCGTCTTCTCGAGGTTCTCGTCGTCCCGGTTGGGCACCAGCATGCCAAACTTGCCCTCCACGCCCTTCATCCTGCTGCCCCGGCCCCGGCCCCGCTCCTCCTTCTCCGACTCCACGGCCTTGAGTTCCCGGTAGTAGTTGTCCTCCTCCTGGTGCAGGAGCTTCTCGAACTCCTCTGGGAAGTTGGAGGACACCAGGAACGCCTGCATGGCGCTCAGCCACAGGTCCGTGGACTCCCGGCGGCAGCGCGCGCTCTCGTTTTGAAACAAGAAGTAGATGTACTCTTTCAGGGCGGACCTGTAGAAGCGGAACGACTTGTAGCAGGGCTTGAGGATTTCTTTGCAGGCCAGGGGGTTTTCGGATATCACCCTTTGGTGGAAATGCTTGGGGAACAGGACATTCATGAAAGATCTGCACACGCCGTACATATCTGTAGACAAAATGTAGTCGATATCTTCGAGTTCCTCGGCGAGGATTTTCGGGAACACTTTCTTGGCTTCCAAAAGCAGTCCGTTGATCGCCACCAGGTGCATCCTCGACTGAACCAGGCACTTGGCCTCGCAACGCCGCAAAGGCCTGTGGAAGTCCTCACAGTTCTCCTCCTTACACTTCAGGCCGACAATGAACCTCGGGCAGACGCCCGGGTAGGTCTTCTCAAGCAAGCTCTGAGTGATCTGACACAGCCTGTTCAGAAGGTGTCTGTGTAGCGCCAATTTCACCTGGTCTGTCGCGACCAAGAAGTGGTCTTTTGTTCTCTTCTCTGCCAAGTGTGAATCCAGGTCCGTAATTATTCTTAAGATGGGTCCAGAGTCATTCTGAGCTACCTGGCAGTATTTGGCGTCCACCTGAGAAATCCCAAAAAACTCAAAGCAAGACTTGACCATTTCCTTCTCGGCGTTGGTGGTCACCCTCGTGAGTGCCTTGACGAGGTTGAGGAGGACTTCCAAGCCGGCCGGGGCCAAGGCCAGGACCTTCTCGGGCTCAGCCTCACAGTGGCTGGCTGCTTCGTAGAGAGCTTCCACCACTCCCGCCGAGTGGTTGAGTCTGTCAAACTTGAGGAAAGCCTCTTTGAGCTTCTGGAAGTCTCGCATGAGCAGCCCCTGCAAGAACTGGGCCTCAGCAATGCCAGAAACTTGGTTGGTTTGATAGCAGAGGTCAAGGGCTTCTTTCAGAATGGTCTTGGTCTCTTCGACGTCAGAATCCATGGCCACGTTGAGACGGGCCGCCTCCAACAAGCACGAGGCCTGGAAATCCTTGTTGTCGGTAAGCCGGGCGGCTTCCAGGAGGTGGCCATGCTGCTTCATCAGCAAGGCGGCCTCCTCGCTCCGGCCTTCTCTGTTGAGCAAGTCCGCGGCTTCGGCCAGCCGCTTCCGCGACTTGAGGAACACCAGCTGGTCTTCTATGTCCAGCTTGGAAAGGACGGCCATCATCTCCTTGATTTTACTTGCACTCAGGTACTTTGCTGCTGCTTCCAAATACAGCTGGCTAGAAGAGTAGGTCAGCTTGGAAATGGGAAAGGTCTTGGCCTTCCGCATCTCTTCATACCTACAAAGACAGAGAAGGAAAATGTCAACTGATGATCACCCAGGCAACAGCAATTCTCCTCCACAACACAGAGCAGAAAAACTAGAAAGCAAGGCCCACACGTTGGAAGATATAAATTACAGGATACTTTGTCTGACATACTTTGGACATGTTGTACGGAGGGACTGGTCCTTGGAGAGGGACATCATGCTTGGGAGGTTGGAGGGACAGCGCAGGAGAGGAAGACCCTCTGTGAGGTGGACTGATTCAGTGACTGGGGTAATCGGGATGAGTGTGTTGGAGGTAGTTCGATGGGCACAGGACAGAGCAGGGTTTAGGGCTGTTGTACACAGGGTCACTATGAGTCACAAGTGACTCGACAGCACATAACAACTACTACCTACAGTCATCAAGCATTTTTATAAATGCTTCATTTTATACTAAAACATTAATCCCTCTGTTCTCCGTAGAGTGCCCCTCATTGGTGTGTTTCATTAACAAAACACAGTAAGAGTTGAACTCAGGTAAGTAAGATTTTTAAAGTCAACCTGTAGAGCAAAAATACCAACCCTCGGGTTAGCACAGGAGCTCAAACCAAGTCCATCACCCAAGGACCCTTCTAAACTCCTCTAAAAACATGACAATCATTTCAAGAATACAATTATGCTCGGTTCAGCTATGTGAGTAGTGAGGAACAATGAAGATGAGGCAGGGAAGATAAGGGCTGGAGAAATACTCGTTACTCCGTGCGCCAGTTATTACTTCTGACAAGTGCAGATGTGACTGAATTAGTGAGAGACTCACGAATTTCTAAAGGAGAGTCAGTAATTAGACAGCAGACACATAGTAAGTTGGGTGAGTGGAAAGAGTTTTTCAAGTAAGAAAGGACGAGCAGAGTATCCTGAAACAAAACAGAGGCACAAAGAGGTGAACGAGGGTTACTGACCACAGCAGAACGTTCCATAAAGAATCCTATATTGTCAGCAACAGCAAATAGTAACCAATAAGATGATTTATAGGCAGCTGAAGAACCACGAGAAGGTGAAAAGAAAGGATTATTTATACACAAGTATTTGTAAATACCGTAAATATATGCAATGATACACAGCGGAGTCAACAAGATGATACACAGCGGAGTCAACAAGGGAGGGAAGTATATGAACTTCATAACCGTAAATAAACACCTGAAGGGAATGAATTGTTTGCTGGTCATGGGGACCTCAGGACCACAGACCTGGGGGACATCATGGTCAACACAGATCACAAAGACTATCCTCTACGCCCTGCCATGGTTGGGCAGTAACTGGAGACTTAACGTTTATGAGCCGCTATCGAAGGAGGGAACCACTGTTCTTTCCGCTGAAGCAAAGGAGAGTGAAGAAAAAACACACAGACACCGTAAATCAGTAGCACAACTAGCTGTGGGAATTCTCAAGTTCCATGTGCCTGAGACCAGAGAATTAGGGGGTCCCTGGTTCCCACTGCTGCCTGGTCTAGAAGGGATCACAGCAGAGGAGGAACTGGATAGAGTGGGAGAGCAAATAGAGAACAAAATGAAGAATTGGAAGTGGTCCAGCTCCCTGATCTCATCTCCATGAGACCGGCTTTCATTCCAGGACGATGGCCCTTTGAGCCTGTAACGGAGTCACCCCTGTGGTACAGCCTGAACAAACAACCTGTCTAAAAAGGGACTGTAACACCTTGGAGAAGGGCATCACGCTCGGAAGGGCGGGGCGACAGCGCAGGAGAGGAAGGCTCCAACGAGAGGGACTGACACAGAAACTGGGGTAATTGGGGGGCGGGGGAGACTGGCTCAGGACAGAGAAGATTCAGAGCTGTTGTTCACAGGGTCGCTATGAGTCGCAGGTGACTCAATGGCGCATAACAACCCCAGGGAAGTACTCAGTCCTTGGAACAGGCAACCATTCAAGATCACAGGGGCATCATGTGCCAAGGACAAAGCGGAGAAGGCAAGAAGGGAGAGGCTGAAAGGATGGCTGCAAACAATAACCAAAGAGACACACCGAGGAGAGTGCAGACACAACAGGCGAGCGTCACCAATGTCCCGCACAACACAGGGATGAATAACTGAACACAATACCAATCTGCTCTGTAAACTTACACTCAAATCACAGCAAAAATTTCAACAAGTGGCTTTGAAAGGCTTTCTGTATGCTGGTGATAAATCAGTTCTATCCACACAACACAAAGGACCAAGACGCTCAACTCACAGCTCTCACTGCTTCTGACCTGGACGCGATTCATAGCTGACTCTCTCGTGGGTTTTCAGAGGTTATAAACCGCACAAGAGTCTCAGATTATCCCCACAGAGAAACTGGCGGATTCCAACTGCCTGCCTCTGGGGTAACAGTGCAAGTCCTTACCCACAAGGCCACCAGAGCTCCCTGCAAACACATGAGGACAAACCCATGAACTATATTTTGGAGGCTGACTTAAACTGTTGTTTCGCAAGTGCCCAAGGACCCTCTGAGGATGCCTCAGGATTACTGTAAAGGCAACAGAGTTCCTAGTGTTAACAGGTCTTCTGTGAAGCTATAAATACAGATGAAAGAGGGAACATACTTCTGCCAATGACTGGCTGACAAAATGTGGAGTATTTTTTACCATGTTTATGAAACTGTCTAGATAGTCTTTCAAATCTAACCACTGGGAGCAATTATCTGGAAGATAAAAGAACCCCAACTTCTCCAATGGATGAGAAAACTTGATCTCAGAAGTCTAGGGTTGATCTTTCTCTCCCAAATTAAAAAATATTTTTAATGCATCTTCAGATAGGCCAGTTAGTAAATGAACGCTACATTCAGTAAACTGGGTGTTAAAAAGCTACGAGAGGAGGTGGGTGCGATCTGGCTGAGACATCTGTCACCCCATTGATTGGGCTGATCTGGCCGGCTAGAGGGGGTGTCCCCTTCCTCCCTCACCGAAGCGGCACTCGGCTGGAGAAGATGACCAGCCCCGGGAGGAGGAGGACTGTCCTTCGGTCAAGGGTCTATGAGAAGACCTGCTAGAACCTGCAAACAAGCTCTCAAAAAAGTGAAGATAAACTGAAGATGAGCTTCTAGCTCATACCTGGGCTACACTTAGAACTCAAACCATGGTGCCATTAAAACCATGTGTGTGTGTGTGTGTGTGTGTGTGTGTGTGTGTGTGTTTGTGCGCACAGCATCAAATCAGAGCTGACTGATTGTCCCTCCTTCTCCAGCAGGTCATGTAGTAAAACCTTTTTTTTTTTAACTTTCTTCTTGAGTGAAAGTTTACAGAGTAAACTGGTTTTCCACTCACTGAGTCATACATTTTGTTTCGTGGCTTTCACTGGACATGGGGCGGAAATCTCCCGAAGCCCTCCAGGTGTGTACTGTCTCCTCTCGCATTTGGCTATACCACCTCACCTTTGCTGCTCACAGGGGAACTAGTTTGGCCAATTATTCACACTGTGATGATCACTTCCACGACAATATCACATGCACAATGGCTTATGCATATTTACCAGATACCAAATCAATCGGGTCCCCTCCTTTTGTATAAATTACGCATTCCAAAGCTGGCCCTCACACCGCATCAACAATGGCATCAAGAGCTTGGTTGAAGCACGCAGGAGCAATAACTTTGTAAATTAGTACCTAACCCGGAAGGGACTGGAGAGCATTATGCTGAGTGAACGAACTTCAGTCCCACAAAGATAAATACTGTTGTATAAGATTGTTATTGTAAAATGAGTATAAGGATCCAGGAGGGGTGGGAGAGGCTGGAAGCAGAGGGATGTGGGTGTGCAGGGGGAAGTGGGGATTAATCATTGGGTTGTACAATTTGATAGGTGGGGGGTGAGGGAAATTCAAAGAATTTGTTTGAATTTGTATTTGAATTGTGTAAATATACCAGAAGAAAAAACAAAAGCAAACAAACAAAAAAAAGAGCTTTGCAGAAGGAAAAGGGTCAATTACTAATCACAGCACTCAACACCTACTTATGTCAAGAAAGAAAATTCTTCTCCCCGGATGATAGTTATGCAAGTGTGTTCTCTTTGTGAAGACTTTGTGGACTTTCCTAAATGTATGTTAAACTTCCATCAGAGTTAACTTAAAAATAGAGATTCCGAGTTTCAACATCTGGGTCAATTATGTTCATTTTGCCAACATGCATAATTCTGTAGAGAGCACAAACCCACGGCTCACTCTTCCAGAAGCAGAGAGATGACGCAGACTCCTGCCGAGAAGAAGGCAGCACTGCGGAATCTCTAATTCCAGCTCTCCCCTCAGAAGGGCCTCATCTGGGACAGCCAACACAGCAAGCTCCTAGATTCTTGTCACCTGCTCACTGTGCCCATCCCTACAGACACCAGGATGTCAATCAAAGCTTAAAGGCACAGGGAAGCTCACAGGGAAGCTCCTCCATCCCCAACCACACACCCACACGGGTCATGTTTGAAACGTCTGTGCCCTACAGCTGAGGGTGTATGCACATCCATATTAGATGTAGGAATATGCTCTGGACCTGCCAAGCGACAACAGTGACACAGACTTTGGACAGCTTGAGAATGCTCTTATCTTTACCCGTCCACACAGGAGCAAAGCCGTCACCTGAGCAAGGAAAGGTGAAGAGGGCAGAATCGTCAGCCACAAAACACTGAGACTGCTGCGTACGTTATTCACACACTCTCTAAACTCTCTAAACATACAGAAATTATGTTAGTTATAGAACAGAGTTCAGGTCTTTTGTGCAAAAGTTACTCTCATTCGTATGCGACTTGACAACACTTAACCAACCGTGAAATGAGAGTAGTGCTGTTTTATCTGGAGGAAGATTCTTCCACTTTGCGTATCACTCTCTGTCAAAGAGCTGTAGGAAGTAACCTGGGTTGCTGTGATGCTGAACCTTGTACCATTGGAATATCAAATACCAGAATGGTTTCCCAGTGTGGACAGTGTTTGGTGGAGCTCCCAGTTGTAATAGGTTTGGAAGCAGGAGTAGCATCCACTTCCTAAAACCACATGCCCCAGGAAACTCTATGAACTTGGAGAAACAACAGTTATGAAAAGGCATTAGGTCTTTTGTTCATAGAGTCGCTATGAGTTGTGTTCGACTCGACAGCAATCAACAACAACAATACACTTTTGGGTGCTCTATTTGGCCTAGTGGTAAGAACCTGTGCTACAATCCCGAATGCATGCAGTTCAAATCTCCTTTTGTGCAATTAACTCTGACAACCCGCTGGAGCGTCAGCTATGCATCAGTTCCAACTGCATGGTACTCAACAACGCACTTTCATCTCCAGTCTTCTGCATACTGCATCATGTCAAAAGTTTATAAAACATAAAAAAGAGGGGAGCTCTGGTGGCCTAGTGGCAAGGAGCTGCAACTACAATCCCAGAGGTGCACGGTTCGAATCCACCAGGTGCTCTGCCAGGGAAGGAGGGACAATCTCCTCCTGTACCAGTCAGATCTGATTTGACGGTACACGCACACAAAAATAATAAAATTACCAAAAAAAACCCCAAACATAAAAAAGAGTAAGAGTTCTGCTGTGAAAGAGCTCCTGACCCAGGCAAGCAGGAGATGGGGAGGACATGGTGACTCCCCCAGAAGCAGCAGTTTAACACCCAGAGTAAGCCTTCCGCAGAGAGGTCGGGGGGACCCTGGAGTGAGGGAGAAAACGAAACCCCTACTTTTCCACAGCAACAGCCGCTTCCTCATAAAGTTCCTGCTGACAGTACATCGTGAGGGCCAGATCGAACTCTTGAATCTGTTCAAGGCACCGGAAAGCATCTTTGTAGCGCTGGCTTCTCTTATAGTAATAGGCAGCATCTTTTATCTAGAACAAAAGAAAGTATTTCTGTTAGAGCCCACAGCGTCACTATTTTATCTTTAAAAAAAGCAAAACAAAAATGCCATGCTTTTTCATCAATGCTTGGTTATCAAGAGGATGTTATTTCTTAGAAATCGATTAGGAAACACTAATACATGAACAATATTTTTAAAAGTTGGTATTTATGTGGAGGAAAAGCAAGTTAAATCTCAAGCTCACGTCATAAACAAAGGCAAACATCAGATGGATCCAAACACTTTGTGAAAGCTAATAGGGATAATTACAGAATACCATTATAACCTTGAGGTAAAGGCTATCTTCAGCGAAATCCAGAACACAGAAACTTCAGGGGAGGAACTAATGGATTTGATTACATCTAAACTGTTTAATTTAAGAGCACACAAGCATGGGAAAGATCTGGTGTGAAAAACAATGTATTCTAATTTTGTAAATAAACTAGTATAAAAAATTATAAAAAGAGCACACAGTATAAAGTTAACAAGACAAATGTTAACACTTGAACTAAACTATCCAGCAGTATTTTCTGTAATGATGACATGCCCGCAGAGGTCAACATGACAGCCACTGGTCACGTACGAATACTGAGCCCTACATGCTAGCAAGAAACTGATTTTTTCAAGTTACTTAATTTAAATAGTCACACGTGATCAGTGGAGCAGATCTAGAATATAAGCTCTATTCCTACAACCACTAAAGACTTCCTGGGAAATGCACAGAAAACAAGCCAAAGGAAGGAAACTTGAACAAAGATGTTCAACCTTAACCATCAGAGGAATATGCATGAAACCCTGGAGAAACACATTCATCAGATTTGTGAAAAGTTAACAAGCCAATACCCACTAAACTGGTCAAGGAAATGAGGGAAGCGGAAGTCGTGGGTACACACGTGCAGTCGCTCTGGAAAGCAGAGGGGCTTTTACTGTTACTAGCTGTCATACAGTCTGTTTTGACTAACGTGGGCCCCATCTATTACAGACTAGAACCAGACCATTAGATCTTCTTGGCTGTAACCTTCACAGGGAGCTCTGACAGCCTAATGGGAAGACGCTGCGCTGCAGTCCTGAAGGCACACAGTTCGAAGCCACCAGGTGGCTGGTCTTCTGGAGAAAGACGGGCAATCTCCTCCCGTGCAATGAACTGCCTCTGAAAACCCACTGGAGCTTCAGCTACGGGGTTGGTTCCGACTCTACAGTACACAAACACCACCTTCACAGCCTCTACCGTCTGTGGTGCAGGTGGGTGGGAGCACAGGGGTGCCACGGAGTGCCACACCTAGGAATGTATGTTGCACAAAGGCTCCCCCAGGGCTGACTGAAGCAGCTGTGTTCTACTCCAACCGTCGGGCAGAAGCTGGGAACTCCCAGCAACCAAACACTCATTACCAAGGGAGTAACTAAGTCAAAACTGAGTGGCTGTCTGCTCAAGACATTCACTGCAGTCAGAAGTGCTAACACTCCAGCAGGGAACGGAAAAAATGAAAAAGCTGAAGATGTCACTTAACTTCATAAAAACACCTACTGACCAAACTACTGTTTATCTTCAGTAATATATGTGTCAGAGAGCCGGACAGTGACTACAGAGGACAGAAGGAGAATTGATGCCCTTGAGCTGTCATTCTGGAGAAGAGTGTTGAATATACCAAGGACTGCTAGGAAAACAAACAAGTTCATCCTGGAGAGGGTCAAGCCAGGCTGCTCCTTGGAGGCAAGGATTCTGAAGAAGCTTTGTTTGACATACTTTGGACATGTTGCAAGGAGGGACTGGTTCTTGGAGAGGGACATCATGTTTGAGAGAGTGGAGGGACGGCGCAGGAGAGGAAGATCCTCGATGAGATGAATCATTCAGTGATTGGGGTGGTGGGTGTAGGTTTGTTGGAGACAGTGAGGTTGGCACAGGATAGAGCAGGGTTTAGGGCTCTTGTACATAGGGTCGCTATGAGTTGTGACTTGACTGCACATAACAACAACAACAAGAATGTATGTGTATGTAATGTATGAGTCATCTACAACTCAACTGCACTTAACAACAACCTAGAGAGAGCTCTGTTGGCCTATTGGACAGAAAGTGATGCTACCAAGACAACGGTGGGTGCTTTTAGTCTGCGGCCCTCAGGCCTGGTTTCAATTGTTTCTGGTCAAACATTCTTCTAAGTGGTATAGCACTGCTCTGTCCATTTGCTGTACAGAGGTAACTCGTGGTTGCTGTGATGCTAAACACTGTGACACTGATGCATCAAATGCGATAATGGTTTCCCACGGTGGATGGTGTTTAGTGGAGCTTCCCAATTAAAACTAGCTCGGAAGCAGGAGTGGCATCCACTTCCAAAATAGCTTGCCTCTGGAAACCTTATGAACGTGGAGAAAGGATAAAAGTTATACAAGTGTCCACGTCTTTCTTTCACAGGGTTGCTATGAGTTGTGCAGGACTTGATGGCACTTAACAATAACAACAACAATGTATGTGTATGGAGACATATATTAAATACATAAGCATGGCTGCCAGTAAGGAGAACATGGGTGTGCAAACAGGCCACAGAGGAAAGATATTCAAGTCAAATAAAATACGTTATGATCCAAAGTTAAATATGACTCCAAAGGATAAATACTGCATGATTCCAACTCTAGGATTCATCTAGAAATGGCAAATGTATAGAGGCCCGAGTTTATAGTGATTACCAGGGGTGGGCACTGCGGGGTGGAGGGGGGACGAAGATTCAATGCCTAGCAGACACTGAGCCTCTGTTAAAGATGAGGGTTGAACAGCAGGCCGAACATAAGTCAACTGAACTGTGTATCAGAAGGTTCAATGGTCAAGGTTTTGTTACCTATACATTTACCACAGTTTTTAAAGGGGGAGTTGTAGTGAGCCGTCGAGCCTGAACCAACCCATTGCTGACCCTCCAGCAGGTTTTCAGAGGCAGTTAACTGCATGGGAGGAGACTGCCCATCCTTCTTCCACAGAAGAGGTAACAACAACAACAAAAAAGAGAAGGATGTCAAGCAAGAAGAGTTTGGAAAAGTATGTTTAAGGTACCAGGAGTGGGCCGTGTGGACCACTGGTAGGGTTTCTGGTTACTGATGATAACTCTTCCTCTCACACTTTCCCTCTGACCCACCAGCGAACCCTGTGTGTGTGGCCTCGCACTCCAAGCCGCCAGTCCTCCCCACACCTCCATCACCGTCACCCCAGTCCACACCCCGTCTTCTCAGCCCAAGTAAGACTGACAAGTGGTCTTTCTACTTCTACTTCTGCTTTTCTACAGAGCTTCTCAAAGAGAATAAAAAAAATTAAAATTTAAGTTCATGTGATTCCTCCATCAAAACTCTCATCTGGTCCACATCACACTTGAACAGACTCCAGTACCGACTACAAGATGATGAGATCACGTACAAGTGGCTCCTGTCGAACTCTCGTTCTCATTTTACCATTTCTCCCCACCTCACCCTGCTCTGGGCCAACAGGCTCCCCGTCTGTTCTGCAACACGCTGTTATTAGTACTGCACTGTGCACTGTTACTAGAAGAGTGCAGGGGACACAGGTCACACGAAGTGACTGTGTCCGAGGGGATGACACCAAAATGACCGTCTATATAATTTCTGGGTAATGTTTCAGCAGGAATATTCCATGACCTCATAGGCGAGGCTGTCCAGTCACGACAAGGGCACACTTAGCCACCTTGTCTAGAGTCGCCTTCTCCAAATGCTGCTGTTCCTACGTGTCAGGGCTCTTCCGGAGTCAAACGTGTGCCATTTGGAGGGAGAGAAGAAAGGTGGGCTCTGCGTGGCAGTTCCCCGTTTCTGGCCCGTGCGGCACTATGGGAAAGGCTCCCACCTGCCACCCATGCCGAGGACTTTGCGAGGTTTCCCAGGAAACCAGTGATGCTCTTCACAGAGAGGGGAGCAGCAGGCAGACGGGAATCCCTGAAAGGAGATCTCACACGCCCGGCAGCTCCCCTCACGAGCCCTTCTAGAGGGAGGCCACGTCTGGGGGCGGGAGCAAGGAAGCGAGGTGACCTCGGCAGGCTTCTGCTGAAGGCTGCTGCCGGGCTCATCACACTGAAGCATGACGGCCAGTTCTGGTGCCACCATCTGAGGCTGACTGGGAGGTGCGGGCCATCTCAGAGAGGGGCCTGCGCAGAGGAAGGAAACACTCGCCTACGTGGGGCAAAGACCCGCGAGAATGGACTGCGGGGAGAAGCAGCAGACGCAGCCACCATGGCGGACAAGCCTGTAGACGAGACGGGAAAGGAGCAAGGCTGTGTGTCCAGAACCGCATGGCCTCCACGTGCAGAGCACTGCCGAGTCCCGGAGAAGACGTGGAGCTGCAATTACAGCCTCCTCTGGTGGCTCAGCAATAAGGACGCGTGCTGCCAACCCAAAGGCAGGCAGTTCGAATCCACCAGGAGAAAGTAAACTTATGTTCATCTTCTCAGAAGAAATATGAGCAATTTACTCCCATGCGATTTGCTGCCTCTGAAAGCCTGCTAACAGGTCAGCTCTGAGTTGGTTCTGACTCGATGGTACTAACAAAACCAAATATCCCCTCTTCAGAGGCAGAGCATGGCAGGGTGGGGACACGGGGGGGGGGGGCCTTGACGGCCCCTGCTGGGCAATATGGGGTCACCAGGCTTAGGCCCTACCGGGTCACTGCTTGGGGTCCAAGATGGTAGCATTGGAGAGGGAAGTTCAGGGGTTATAAAACTTAGGTTACGCTAGTTCCTGGGACCCTGGTACATTCCCTCACACTAAACGTCTTTTCCTCATCTACATCCTAACAACTTCCATCCCATAATAAACTAGACAGGGCAGACAGGACCCAGAGGGCATCACAGTCTATGACACTGACACCTGTCACACCATAAACTTTCCTGGGGGAGATCCCACCTCAAACCTCCTCGATGCCCTCGGGGTGCTCTGAAAAGTTACCACATTTCAAATACAGACATGGAAACGTCTCAAGTGCAAGAACCTTCCCCTATCATGTTTTCTACAGCACAGCTTCTCAAACTGTCTGTGGAGAGACACCAAAGGTTTCAAAACTTTCCAATCCATCGGGATCAACACAGTAGAAAGAAATGATTAAGACGACACTATGGTCTGATAGCGACTGTAACCCGGAGACAGCCGCCAGGCCTGGAGCTGATCTCTCACACTGGCTCACTGAGATCAACTTCCAATCCAGCGACATTATTATGTGCCGCCGAGTCACAGCTGACCCTCCAGTGGGTTTTCAGAGGCAGAAAATGGCAGGAGAGGAGACTGTCCACCTCTCTGAGAAGGTGGTGGATCCAAACCGTGTTAGACAGGCCTTAAAGTGAGGGACCGACAAGAGTGGAAATGTGCATCAAAGAGCAATTAACCACACGAGACCGAAAGTGGAACCTTCCTCCAAAAACCAAACTCAGAAGGACACAGGGAAATGGAGGAATAGGAAGAGTCCGGGAATTGCAAACTGTATCATTCTGAAACAAAGGAACATAAATTGTTGCGCAGAAAACTCATCTGTTCTGTACACTTGCACCAAAGCTACAAGAAAAAAGGGAGCTCTGGTGGCCTAGTGGCAAGAAACTGTGCTGCAATCCCAAAGGCACACGGTTCAAAGGGGTAATCTTCTGTGCCAGCCGGATCCGATTCGATGGTACACAACAAGAAAAACAAAACAAAAACTACAATAAAAGGGCAAAAAAAAGAAAATGATCCAAGATGTTACAGCAACACCAAACTGCTATAAAAATTACAGACTGCTCACTTCCATTTTCTGTGTTAATCTTTCAAAAAAACACAAACATTCAGGACCCTCTTTCAGGCGGGCTGATCATGTGGTGATTCTGGGTTACCGGCTCTGCCCATAAAAACGTCCTGCGATGACAGAAACGCTCTACAAGGCTAAGCACTGGAGATGTGGGTCACGAAGCTGAGGGATTACAATCAAACTTCTATTACATTTTAACTTAAGGCAGTCCCGGGATAGGGAGGGGACCCACTCCTAAGTTGAACGTGTGGGTAAGCTGGACCAGGTGCATACAGTTCTCTATCAAGGGAGCCTTCAAGTCCTTTCCATGATTTAAATGCACCAAGTGACGGTGATTGCGATAAACACAATTCTGTTTCAAGCAGGTATGCGTCCAGCTGTTGACAGTTAACTTATATGGCATTGAAGTCCAAGTAAGAGGCATCTGTAAACTGGATTTTTCTTTTTTTAAAAAAAAATAACAACTCAGATTTCCTGTAATTTAAATTTAAAGCAAGCAGCCATATGGAATTGGAAGCAACTGGTAAAACAGGGTAGGTCTGGAATAATTACTGTGAGCACAGCAAAGCAGTCATGTAAATACCAGGCCGTTTAAGCAGGCAGACTCAGGCCGTGAAACAATAGATATCTTTTAAATTCCAGCCGCCCCGTGGTTAATACCAAGGAGCTCTGGCGACACACTGTGGTAGAGTTTGAATCCACCAATCGCTGTAGGGGAGAAAGTGGGGTGGTCTCAGACACCAAGTCGGGGATCCCCATGAGTCAGAAGTGACTCCGTGTCAATAGGTGATGAATGCTGGGCCCCTAACAGTAACACAGACATGGACAGGTGGGAGAGGGAGAGGGAGTTCTTAGACTCACCAGAGCCAACCGTTCCCTATTAGAGGGGTGAAGCCCGCTTTGATGGCACGCAGAGGGTGGGACTTCCCACTCCATGTGCTATTAACTAAAGCCCCCGGGCAGCCGCAGGCTGCGGGCCATACCTTGCCCAGCCTCTCGCACAGCTGGGCGCAGAGATGGAACTCCTTGCTGTACACCAGACACTTGAGCGATAGATTGGGCTCGTTGCACTCCAAATAGGTCTTGGCCAGTTCCAGATACTGCAACTGCTTTTCCCTGGGGAAGGGGAAAACAGGACCGTCAGGAGATGTTGATCCGACACCCACGGAATCGCACCTGCCGTTTCCATTGGAGCAATAATGGAAGGTTCCCCAGGACTCTTACTTGGGGCTGACTTTCTTGGATTTCATGTTCAGAGCCGTGTGGTGGGCCAGTGCCAACTTCTCCTTCTCAAATGCACCTCCTTTTTGGTAACATTTGGCTGCAACCTGGAGTAGGCAAAAGGTTTTGATCCGCCACGAGGTGACGGACGTGGTGTAAGACAAGAGATAAAGCAGAAAAGACATCACCCGCTCCCACTGACAGAGGAACCGAGCCTCGGCCCAGCCCCACCTTATGAGGGAGGAGCAGAAAAGTCTCGGGATGCTAACAAAGACAGAGCCTACAGGAGTAACCAGCTAATACTTCACACTCAATGGCACCTTTTCGAGGTATCCGGAATTCACGTGGAAAGTATATATAACAGGGTTGTTTTTAAATAGGTCACCATCCTCCCTCGTTTCATCTTCCACCAGTGATGGGTGAGAAGCACAATCTTTCTCACTGTGCAGAACAGCAACGTCAGGTCAGAGACGTGGAGAATTCCGGGGATCCCTGACCTCAGGCACATGAGGTAGAAGGCCCGGGAGGTTCAGTAAGCAGGACAAGCCCTCCAGAGAACCCGTCTCACTGGCAAGAGAAGCTGCAGACATTTATACTACAGCATCTGAGGCGCTGGAACCTCTCTAGAGTCAACAGTGAGGTGTGTGGTAAAGGCAAGAAAACGCTCCATCCAAAAGTGAACCCCAGCTGTTCTCGCAGCTCCTGCAGCTGCCAGCAGGGGCCCCAGGGGGCCTGGGACACTTAGATCCTGAGCAAACGTGCACACTGGTCATGCATGCCCAGCTGGACACTGTTGGGTATCTACCCCAAAGATTTCCACCTTTCTTGTTTGTCTCATGGCAGCTAGTACTTCCCTCAGAAACTTCCAGAAAGCATTACTCTCCCAGACTCCTTTGCAGCTAGGAATGTCCTGGTACTAGTCAATGAGCCCAAGGGAAGACCACCAGAGACTTCATAATGAAAAAGAACCCCAAGCACAGAGAGCGTCTGTCCTTCATGCCTGCTTGGGGTGCAGAGGAGGGACAGTCAGACGCCTGGAGCTACTGTGGCCATTATGAAATTACGACCCTGAGGGACCTGCGGCACTATTAAGAGGAGACAGAGCGAAATGACGCTTATTGACTTCGTTGGACTGAAGAGCAAACGATAAAACCAGCCTTCTCCTTATTTCATTTGAAACACCTTTTTAGGAGAGCGGTTGTAACTTGCCAAGTGAAGACATCATTACCACGGCATCATGGGAGACAGGTGTGCCACTGGGTCCCCACCGAAGAGCTTGGGACACTGGAGGGACACTGACCGAAGGGGACTGATGGGCTCTGCAAGCTGATTTCAGTATTTCAAGATAACTAACACTTCCCAGAAAGGCTGCAAAAGCCCACTAGAAAGGTTTGTGCTTGGCTTGAGGATAAAGCTTACGCTATGCGCCCCAGATTCAGATGGGCGGTTAACTCAGGCCTCATCAATTTTCCTCCCTTTTTTTAAATTAATTGATTTTAATGAAAATTTACAGAGACTTTGGATTTCCATTCACTCACTGTTGGACTTTTCTCCCTGCCCACCTCCCCCCGAATTAGTTTTTCTCTTTGAAAACTAAAAGAGGAAAAACTCCTTCATCATTATTCAGACCCTCCCCCCACGTCCACTCCTCTGTGCAGCCTTCGTTCTGGACTCCTGTCATGACAATAATACTTAACCATATATACCTTTCAAACAGTTCTCTCCCTCATCTGTTTCAATGAGGTAGCCATTATTTATTCCATCTTTCTTAGTTCCTCCAACCCCAATGTCAGTCCTCTTTTATAACAGCGGCATTATGAATTTAGACCTAATCGATTTTTTAAAATTAGGTTCTTATTGTTGCTATCATGTGCTGTTGAGTCAGAACTGACTCAGAGCTGACCCTCCAGTGAGTTTTCAAAGACTGTGGTACAGGAAGAGACTGCCTATCCTCCCTCCACAGAGCAGCTGGTGGATTTGAACTGACTACCTTCGGTTAGCAGTTAGCAGTCCAAGTTCTTACCACTAGGCCACCAGAGCTCCTTAAAAAAATTAGGAGAAGACCCATATATTACTGTTGTAAAATTCAGTATAATAAAAAGAGAACTTTCTAAGCATACTGTGTACCAGAGAAAGAAATTAAGGGGTTCCTTACCGGGACATGTCATGGCCCCTTTGATTTTATCTATCAACATACCGGCCTCTGGCTGAAACAAAGGGTTACCAATGTCTGTGCTGGGAAGGCAGTGGGACAGGAGTTCACATCATTTTGGTATAACCTGGCTGGCATTTTAAAGAAGGGATTTGGTACAGGCATTGTTACCCTGGTGCTATGCTGGAAATCAGTACAATTCTAGGAGATTAAGGCCCCGGGTTCCAAAGCCCTCACCTTGGCTCCTGACTCAGCCCCTTACCTTCCAGCACTGGTGCTTGGCATAGTAGTCTCCCTGTGCGATCCACTCGCTGGGGGTTGAAGTCTTAACAAACATACTGTCATCAAAATCTAAAGAGAAAAAACAACCACGGGTTTCTTCTCTGAGCACACCTTCACTACAATCTAGGTTATCCGGCATCTGCTTAAGGTAACATTTCACTTCAGAGAAGGATTGATGTGGATATTATAAGGGAGGGTAAGACACACTATTTATTTTCTCTTTTCCTCTTTTAAAAACTGGAGGAAAATGTTGTTGTTGTTGTTGTTGTTATGTGTCGTCGAGTCATTTGCGACTCATAGCGACCCTATGTACAACAGCCCTAAACCCTGCTCTATCCTGTGCCAATCTCATTGCCTCTGACACACCCACCCCGATTACCCCAGTCACTGAATCAATCCACCTCCTAGAGGGTCTTCCCCTCCTGCGCTGTTCCTCTACTCTACCCAGTATGATGTCCCTCTCTAAGGACCTGTCTCTCCTTATAACATGTCCAAAGTATGTCAGACAAAGCCCCAGAATCCTTGCCTCCAAGGAGCAGCCTGGTTTAACCCTCTCTAGGATTAATCTGTTTGTTTTCTTGGCAGTCCATGGTACATTCAATACTCTTCTCCAGCACCACTGCTCAAAGATGTCAATTCTCCTTCTATCCTCCCTAGTCATTGTTTAATTCTCTGATGCATAACAAGTGATTGCAAAGACCAAGGCCTGTATCAGGCGCACCTTAGCCTCCAGAATGACACCACTGCTCTTCAGCACTTTGGAGAGGTCCCAAACAGCAGACTTTCCCATGGCAATGCGCCTTTTAATTTCCTGGCTGCTGGTGCCAAGAGTGTTGACTATGAAGCCAAGAAAAAGAAAGCTTTTTATTTTTTGTATGTGTACCATCAAGTTGGATCTGACTGATACAGGAGGAGATTGCCCCTCCTTCTCCAGCAGAGTATCTGGTGGATTTGAACCACAGACCTCTGGGATTGCAGTGAAGCCTCTTGCCACTAGGCCGCCAGAGCTCCCTGAAAACTAAAGCTGTGAACAATCTCAATCTCTTTACCATCCATCCTGATACTGCCAATTGAACCAGTGATGAGAATCTTTGTCTTCTTGATATTGAGCCTCAATCTATACTGAAGGCTGCAGTCCTGACCCCCTGCAATTATATATTCTCCTATTGGTGTGTATTTCCTCTACCCCTTGCCCATGGCACTCATTTTTTTAAAGGGAGAGTAAGAGTTTCTCTCAAAAATCCCTCCTCCTCCTGAGAAGGAAAACAAAGTGCTTTCTAACCTCTGGATCCTTTGTACCTTAAGAACAGGTGAGAGAAACATGCTTCCTATCTTAATGATACTTTTAATGAAACTTTTTAATGATACTTTACCTTTATTTTCATCTGTCTTCACAACTTGGACAAAATCTCGCCCAATGAAATACTTGAAGGCAGGAGCCCGCTTCTCTCTGTTTTCATCAAAAATCCAGAGGTTGACTCGAGCCCGGGTGATGGCCGTGTACAACTGCTTCAACTCTCCATTGAGAAGCTGCCGGAAAGAGCAAAGAGCAGGGTCAAGGCTGGGAGGACAGGGTGAGGCTGCGGTCGGCAGTCACACTGGGACATGGTCTGTGGGTTCACTCAGGTTCGGGAAACGTTCAAACCGAAATTACAGAGATCTGACAAAGTTAACTGTTAACAGGATTCATTTTTGCCAACTTAAATCACTGCTTCAGCAGTGAGATAGAATGTTAGCATTCCCTACTTTGTTTCCCTGGGAGTTAATTTTAAAAATTAAATGAGCTGTACTGAAATCCCAGAGGTGCGTAGTTTGAATCCACCAGATGTTCTGCTGCAGAAGGAGGGACAATCTCCTCCTGTACCAGTCAGATCAGATTTGATGGTACATACACACACAAAAAATAAAATTTTAAAAAATTTAAATGAGTCACCTACTTCTCTTATAACTACCTTGAGTGCTGAATTACTCAGTGCTTACCTCATGACTAGCCATATTCCATTGGGCAGAGACTGCAGATCAAAGGGGATTATGGTGGCATGTGGAGCAGATAATCTACGTGATTAAGTGAAATGCACATTTCAAAGCCGTAACGGAACTGTGGCCAGCTAACAAGGCACATGTTACTGTTGTTATGTGCCATCGAGTGGCTTGTGACTCAGAGACCCTCTGTACATCAGCTTTGAACCCTGCTCTATCTTGATCTCACTGTCTCTGACACGCCTAACCCCATTACCCCAGTCACTGAATCAGTTCATCTCATCGAGGGTCTTCCTCTCTAGCACTGTCCCTCCATCCTCCCAAGCATGACATCCCTCTCCAAGGACTGGTCCCGTCCCAGAAGTATGTCAAATGAAGCTTCAGAATCCTTGCTTCCAAGGAGCAACCTGGTCTCACCCTCTCTAGGACGAACTTGTTTGTTCTCCCAGCAGTCCATGGTATATTCAACATGGCACCACAGCTCAAAGGCACCAATTCTTCTATCATTCTTAGTCACTGTCCAGCTTTCTAATGCATAGCAAGTCATTTTAAGACCATGGCCCAGACCAGGGACATCTTAAGTCTCTAGACTGACACCGTTGGTCTTCAGTACTCGAGAGGTCTTATGCAATTCATCTTTCAATTTCCTGGCTGCTGATACCAAGAGTGTTGACTGTGTTCAAATCCACCAGATGCTCTGCCAGGAAAGGAGGGACAATCTCCTCCTGTACCAGTCAGATCTGATTTGACGGTACACTCAAACAAAAATAGTAAAATTTAAAAAAAAAAAGTATTGACTGTGGAGCCAAGGAAGCTGAAGCTGTTAACAATCTTAATCTCTTCAGAGCTTGGCTGTTATTTCAACTTCTGCTGTGCCTTTTAGGCATTTCAAGAAATAACTGAATGACTGCTGTTTTGCTGCTTTGTTTTATACTGTATGAAACATAAAACTCAGATAGTACATTTCCAAAGGAATTTTGGGTTTGCGTGGTTCACTCTTCTCTGATTACATCGTTGAGCCGTGTGAGGTCCCTACCAACTTCCCTCCGTGAGGATTCCACCAACTTCACAGATACGGCCTCCTCCTCACTGATAAGAAAGTCACTGCGGCTGAGCTGGAACTGACTCAGGGCTGAGCCTCCAGCGGCTTTTCAAAGCTGTCACTCACACAAGAAGTGACTGCCCATCTTTGTCCCACAAAGCAGCTGGGGATTCAAACTGCAGCCCAGCCCCTCATCTACGAGGCCACCGGAACTCCCACTGGTGATGTAACCAGGACTCAAGGGGGAAGGGGAGTCTCCCGGTCCCTTAACCATCACGGTGAGCAAACTCATGCAGCCACAGAATAATCCGACTGAACTACAGTCCGGAGAAGTTCTGGTGGCGAGTGGTTTGCTGCGCTGCAATCCTGCAGGCTTTGAAGCTTGAGACCACCAGCTGCTCCGCAGGAGAAGGACCGGTGACCTCTTCTCGTGCGATTAACTGCCTCTGAAAACCCGCTGAGGGTCAGCTGTGGGTTAGTTCCGACTGTAAAGTACTCAACAATTACAGTCCAAAGCGTCACTTCCAGATTCCCCGTCAGAAACACCTGAAACATCTCTGCCCCAGAAGGGCCGTGAGACTAGAAGTTCAAAAAGCAAGTGACTGAGTTGAACAGAGCAGAGTTTCAGAGATTAAAAAGAATTTACAAAGCTCTCCTTTCTACCCTCAGACAGCACCCACCCTTCAAGGTGGGTGTCCCACCCACCACTGATGAGAAAAAGAGAGCCCCCAACACGGACATCTGCTTCTTCCTCCTCCCACCTTCTGCACCCACCACATGCACCGAGGAAGACCCACCGACCACCAGGCTCCAACCTTAACTGCATTCTCTCCTCCCAGCCTCACTTATTCCCTGCCAAATAAACACGTGAGAAAAACATGCTTAACAAATCACCTTGTACATTTCTGGATTCAGCATGTGTGACCGACCCTGCAAGGAGCTTGCTTTTTCCAGGGACACGTCCATCAGTGGTCGGTTTTCCTGCTTGGAGTCGGAGGACGGCGGCATAAATGAAGAGATAATCTTCCACTCCTTGTAAGCCTGAACAACGATGACAAATTAAAGACCAACGAATATGCTTCAGAGCTGAATACACAACCTTCCCGCACCTCACAAAGAGGGGAGCTCTGCTTTCTAAGGGCTGAAGGGGCAGCTTTTAGCCTGAGTGTGACGGGGCAGCTGTTCTGTGGCCTCCGATGAACAGGTAAGGGTCAGGGAAATGACAGTGACAACTGTCCAAGCACGTGGTGAAGACAGCCGAGAAGCGGGGCATATGGACACTGTTAAAGGAGGAACACTAAGGACACAGGAGGTCCCATCCGACTACCTGATTCTTGAATTTTAACAGGCAGTGGAGACATCCACCCCTGGTATCTCTCCTCAAGCCTTTCACACCTCTGTCAAGAGACATCACTGAGGGGCAGCAGCCGCATTTAAGACAGGTGTGTTTCAATTTTCTAAGCAGATTATTAAATCAAGCAAGGAGGGAAGGGGATTTAGTGGCTGGGCTACAGTGTTCAAAGCAGTCTGAAGTCAGACAGCATAAATTTATGTTTTGCTTATTTTTCTGCTATGGTAGGTAAATGGGATAAGGGGAGCTCCCAAGATTTTAGAAAATAAAGTGTGTCTAGTACAATGTCCAATATTAGTTAATAGCTTATTCATTTTTTTTCTTCCTTACCCAAGCCCCCACACCAAGGTACCTGTGTAAAACAGAGCCTGGCATACTCTAATATCTAAAGTATTAGATAAGAAATACCTTCAATTCTGAGGGCTGTAACTCTCACAACTACCCAACTCTGATGTGTGCAAAGGAGTCGCAGATTATAAATAAATGAGGCTGATACAGTCAAACTTCATGGACATTAAAATCTAGTTTTAGATCCTTTTCATGTGCAGCAGAATAGTAGGCTTCCTTCCGTTATTCCCAACCATTTAAGAATATAAGCAACATTCTTCATACTCAAGATGTATGAAAACAGGCCCAGGATCTTCTCTATGCACGTGGTCTGTAGACTTCACAAAGCTCAAGAGCCCAGGTTAAGAAGAGCGTCTTGAATTCCCCTGGAATTCTACACTTCATACTTTAGTTTTTCTTATGGAAGTAGCTACATCAACTCTACTTATTTTTCTATTTACAAAATAGAGTTGTTACCTTCCTATATTTTCAAAGATACTGATAATACGAAGAGGGTTCAAGTGATCAAATGCTTTAAAGTCGCCCCAGGGCTCAAGTTACTTAAATATTCAGTTAAAGCTTTAAAAATTTTCTATTAAGTGAGGATAGCTGGGGGTTTTTTTAATCAATTATAACATCAACAAGCACACTTTGAATATAGATGTGAATCATAATCATTTAGGTGGTTGTAAGGTTTGGACATATTTATGCCTATACTCTTCGAAAAGCTATTTGAATTGGATTGTTTGCCAAGAAAAAAGCAGGCAAAAGACATGAATGGCTGACGTTTGAGAGGATCTCCCCAGAAGACAGCAGGAGCTGATACTGGCTGACTCTGAAAAGTCTAGTGCAGTAAATGCACTTTGGAACCACGAGGTAAGAAGCCAAATCTGCTCATAAGACACACGACTGGGCTCTTTCCAGGAAGGAACACATTTTGTTTTGAAGACAGAGCCTTTTGGGAGTGAGTGTGCATGTTCTGTGATACAGACATGGGCCTGCAGCACTTCTGGCAACAAAACCAGAAGCATCTGAAACCCGTCCAGCTTCTTTCATTGTGAGGAAAAAAAGGCAAACCTACTTTGTTCTCTACGTCAGTTAAACAGTCCATGAAAGCTGGGGTTTCCGGAGACCCTCTCCTTCCTTCTCCTCTGGCTTCCACGTGGATGTGAGGGAAGAGGACTTACAGGAGGGCAGTTTTGGGGTGACTAGGAAAATGACTCTCTCTCCTCAGAGATGAGGTAAAATCATACAAGGGAAATGTCTGGTTTAACCAAGTTCCTCCCTCGTCCTAGGAGAAGGGCCTGGGAAGCTGGTAACCTGGAGTTGAGCCGGGAATGATAAATTCTCTCAATTGGAGGGTGCCTCAGAAACCAGGGCAACAAGAACATCACACACATCCAAGTCCAGGTGGCAGGGCTGCAAAGACAAAGTCTGCCTGCACTATAAACAAGGGGGAAACAGAGGCTGGGGAGACGCTCTCTAAAGTGCCCCCACTGTGTCAGCCAGTCACCCCCAAAAGACTCCCCCTGACTAGCCACACCACAGCAGTGGGGGCTACGTGTGAACCCTACCTGGACTCTGCCTGAATGAGAGCACTGCCCCTCCTTTGCAGACTGACTCTTTTTCACCCTCTGTAAACTGAGAGAGGATTCTGACCTGGGCATGAATGGTTACGTTCGCTGGTATATTCAAAAACAACACATCAAGTCTTATTATTTTAGGGAGCCTAAGGCTTCTGAAACTTTGTCTGACATACTTTGGACATGCTGCAAGGAGGGACCGGTCCTTGGAGAGGGACGTCATGCTTGGGAGGGTGGAGGGACAGCGCAGGAGGGGAAAACCCTCGATGAGATGGATTGATTCAGTCACTGGGGTAATGGGGGTGGGTGTGTTGGAGATGGTGAGATCGGTACAGGATAGCGCAGAGTTTAGGGCTGTTGTACATAAGGTCGCTGTGAGTCGCAGATGACTCAATGGCACATAACAACAACAACAACACCACTATATGTACACAGTATGAAGCAGATGCAATGGAAAGATTCAATTTGTGATTGTTTTCATGTCATGCAACTCATCAAGCCGTTGGTGTAATAAGCATTATGGTCAAGAGCCCTAGGGCTCTGCCATTTCTAGGACCAAGGTGAGAAAGGAGAGCTGGATTTTTCTGGCATAGACACAGCTAATTATAAACCATCACAGATCCATCAATGCAGAGCTCCTCGAGCTTCTTACTGGCCTCAGCATACAACTCACACTTAAGGAAGTACAGGAACGACAGAGTCTTACCCCTTTCTCATTTAGGAGAGCCTCAGTCCAACCATGTCCAATGGACGTATTACGAGAAAAAAAAGTTAGTCCTCAGAGATTAAAAATGGCTTCAGGGTTAACGAGGGTGCACCTAGTTTTAGCAAAAGTCAATAGAAAAGGAATGTGCATAAGGCATGGCAACTCATCATGGAAGGTTCTGGAAGCTGGGTTTGCATGCAGGCCTTTAAACGGAAGGGGGACACATCAGAAAAGGTCGAAAGATTCATCCAGGTTCATCTCCAGGCTCGGCCCACCTACATTATGACTATGGGCAATTTACTTAACTTCCATGACCCTCCGCCAACTACAGAATTAGGGTAAAAAAAGTTAAAAAACACACACCTCAGAGAGCTGGTGGAGAATGAAGAGAGATGGAACATTCAAAAAAAGTACTTTCTAGACCGTAAAGCACCCATAGCAATATTTACTGTAGGTACAATTAAGGCAGACAAGACATGAAAAATGACCAGGAAAGAAATGTAAGGATTCCATAAAAATGGTCAGTTCTGGGATGGACTTCAAGGTGTCAAGGCCAACAGTGCTCCTGACTTGCGTACTTCGAGACATGCCCTTCGAGCATGCACCATGTGCAGCGGGAATCTGCAACGGGGCGCAGTCATAAGAAAAGCCAGTAATAGAAAACCCAGGTTATTGACACTGAGCTGGTGGCTTTACCAAAAGCCAGGGAGGAAAGCCACCATTGTCAGGGCTCAAAAGCCAACTTCAAAGAGTGGGCTGGCACAGGGGTGCCAGGGGTTCAATCCAGGGCCTTTTCAGCTGCCATTGTCTGCGCGAGCTGCAAGCAGTGGTGATAAAGCCATGCCAGCAGGGTCCCCCAAACCCTGGCAGGTGGCTGTTCTCGTCCCCCCGCATTACCTGATCCAGTGGCCAGGGACGAAGCCCCACTTGTCTCCTCAGAGCTGTGTCTGTCTGTGCCCAGTCCTGTCTTAGAGTGGACACTGCTAACTTTGCCTGCACTTGTAAGACTCAGGTTAGAACTTGTCCAATATGGGCATCACAGGGGGCCAAGGGGAGTTGCTGTTAACTCTAACCAAACACTGATACTTGGGTACCAGATCTTTGTAATACACAAAAAAATATCAGGGAAGAGCAGGGCACGAGAACAACCAGCCCGCGACACATTGGAGAACAACCCTCAGCCACTGTCAAAGCTCACAAACAAACGCACAACCCCCACAGGAAACGGATGAATTTGGCAAACGCAAACAGGCACCTGGGAGAAGCTCCCGCATCTTCAGGTTCAAATCCCTCCCCTTCAGTGGAGGGGCACGCAGCCCACACACACATACATGCATGATCTGAGAACAGTTCACCATCACATACCTCAGAATCCGTGAAAAAGTTGTAAAGGAGGACATCATCAAACTCTAAACCTTTCGCTTCGTAAACTGTCAGCACAAGTGCCAACCCCAGCTCTTCGGGAATTCTCTCCTTTGCCATTTCATTGGCAACAAGGATTACCTAGAGATGAGAGAGAAAAACCACCAAGTTCCACAACAGAAAATCCATAAAGCCCAACTGATTTCTGTGGGAGGGAGGGAGAGTCTTTAGAGAAAAGAGGTCTGTATGCAGCTGGCCAGCAAAACAAGTGGAAACATTTCCAAAAACGACCCATTCTGGGACAAGAATTACAGAATTCGATCTTGTGAAATAATTCAGACTCTTAATCTTCTTTAATTTTTTTTTCCTAATTGCAAACTGCATTTTATTTCAAAAGGTGAAATCCCAAGCCGCTCACCTGGTGGGCTCCAAATTCAATAGGCTGAGTTTTCCTTTTGTTCCCTCGCAGCAAAATTGCCAAATCGCTCACACTACAAGAGTCCAGGACAGTAGGCTTGGGGCCGTCAAAGAGGCCAGAATCCCTTGGAAGGCGATCAAAAGATTCTGGGAAGTAGAACTGAAGTAAATCCACCACTCCTGATGCCAGATTGAGAATTCCTGGGGTCAAAGAGAAAACGCATCACAGAGGTAGTACAGCGTAACCAGGGGATTTTTTTCCCCGCCCCCTTGAGATGGGTACTTAGATTCGCAAGCCTGCTTCCGGCTCTATTTGATTATCTCTCTGCAGCAGATGAAGGGAGAGAAGTGTGGCTGGCAAGGAGTGTTGTGTGGGGGTCCCCTTCCTGACCTGATATTCACGGCAGAGAAAATTACCTTAGAAAGGAGACAAGGCAGAAAATTCATCTAAACAATTAGAGCTGTTAAGAGTTCTGAGGAGCCAGTATAAATGGGGTGGGGGGGGACACTATTTTCCTGCCGACTCTCATCGAAAAGTGTGGCAAGGTTGTCATGACAACAGCAGCACAGCTCTGTGGGCAGTAATCACCCTTTCTCAATAGGTTTACATCCACCTGAAAGGGACCTACACTCGGGAAGATGCCTGGAGTTGAAGAAAGGACTTTGAAAAGAGCCACTTCTCTATGCTCTGAAAGGATACTGATTGAGCATCTATCAAGGTCAAGGACTTAGCAACAGCAGCAACCATCAAAGAAAGCATTCCATGGAGTACCTCAAAAACACATGTGCATTATTATATCAGACTATTAATGCAAAAACAGGAGAATAACTCGTAAATTGTGTATAAAAAGGGAACAAGGAGGAGGGAGGGGAGTTGAGGAAAGGTGGAGGGGAAATCGTGGGGTCGCAGAGTTTGGTGGGCAAAGAGAGAGGTGAAGGAATCAGGAAAGATCCCCTGGGGTTCTGAAAAGATGGGGTAACAGTATGCCTACATAGATCAACAGTGATTAATTGTATAAAACACAATGTATGGGAATGATCATATGAAAAACAATGAGAATGAATGAAACACCATGTATATGAACTTTGTATGCAAATCAATTGTTGTTATGTGCCATTTTTATAAAATAAAAATAAAACCAAAGTAAAAAAAACCATGTGTATGATAAATGCCATCTAATGTAATGCACCTTTTTAAAAACAAGAAGGAAATGAAAGTGGCAGTCGTGACTGGCCTGAAAGATTGTCAGTTGGGGTTTTTTTTTAAACATTTTATAGACTTTTCAAAATCTAGCCCCTCTTATCGGGGCTTTTTCTAATTTCACACATAGAAACACAAAGGGCACAGGCACTCCTCCTCCATCCCAAGAGGGAAGACGAGATTCAAGCGTAATTGTCTGAGCGGGTTACTAAGCACCCGGAAGGAAGCAGGGGCAGAAACGAAGGCTGTTCCCAGGCTCGGTCCTGATGTTATCTAAGGCTGCTGTTCTCCTGGACAAGTGGCTCTTACTCAACGGTCCATCTTAGAATAAAGAACGTCCTCAAGTTAAAATGTCAAGTCCATGCTACGGAGACAACAGGAAATGCGATGCCATCTGGGGCTAGTCCTGAAGACAAAGAAACACTGAGCCGTGTGTCCCATCTACCCAGTGTCCACCGTGCCTGGCTGGATACAAGTTCAATACGTGTTTCTAGCACTGACGAAAGAAAAGGCTAGGATGTCCCTGGGAGGCCCTTGGTGTTAACACCTTCTGGAAAACAAAAGCCCCAGGTATGAGAAGAACGTGGAAGAATAGAAAGCTGAGGTCCTCAGACCCAGGTGGACCCTGTGGTTCACAGGCAACGTCAGTCAGGAGTGTGTTGTTGTTTATAATAATGATGTCGGGTGCCCTAAAGTCAATGAAACCCTGAAAAATTGCATGTGATGCAAACATTACACTCTAGCTTCCAGCAATTTTCTCCATTTTCAGCTCAATAAATTTGAATTTTAATCTAATTTTACAATGTGTGTGTTCTTATTCTCTTTTTACTACATCATAAGCCGTCTGACAATCAAGAAGGAAAAAGACTACTATCGAACACTACCCATAAATCCTATCACTAAATACGATGCCAGCGGTATTCCTGTTAACCTCAGTAACACAGGGTGCTTCTTTCCACTTCGATTCGAAGTTTTAAACAAAAAAGGAAGAAGAAATAATAAGGATAAAGACTGAAAAAGAAGAGAAAAAAACTGCCCTTATTTACAGAGAAAAATCGCAACTCTAAAATTTAGAAGAAGAAGAATGTCTGGCATATGGAAACAACCCAAACGTCTACCGGCAAATGAATGGATTGAGAAACTGTGGTACGTTTACACAATGGAATACTATGCAGCACTCAGGAACAACAATTTTGTAAAATATTATGTAGCGTGGGAGAAGCTAGAGAACGTTATGCTGAGTGAACTCATTCAGTCTCACAAGGACAAATATCATGTAAGATCTTTATCCCAAAAATATAAGGATAACTAGTAAGATGTGGATAAAAGTCCAAATGGGGAAGGGGGTCTAGGGAATGAAGGATTGGGGAGTGGGAGAAATCACAGGGTCACAGACTTTGGTGGACAGAGGGAAGGTGTAAAGGAATTAATAAAGACGCAGTGGAGACTTGAAAATATGAGGTGTTAGTGGACATAGATCAATGGCGATGGATTTTTTTAGAACAATATAAGGGGATGATCGTATGAAACACAATATGAATGTGAAGAAATGTGTAAAACACAAACTACATGAATGAAACACAATAGTGAAGAGCAACGATGTCAGGCTAGAGACTAAGGTGTGCCTGATCCAGTCTATAGTCTTTGCAATTGCGTGCTATGCATCAGAGAGTTGGACAGTAAATAGGGATGACAGAAGGAGAAATGATGCCTTTGAGCTGTGGTGCTGGAGATGGACTGCTAGGAGAACAAACAGGTTTGTCCTGGAAAGGGTGAAACCAGGCTGTTCCTTGGAGTCAAGGATTCTGAAGCTCCGTCTGACATACTTTGGGCATGTTGTAAGGAGGGACTGGTCCTTGGAGAGGGACATCATGTTTGGGAGAGTGGAGGGGAGAGTGCAGGAGAGGAAGACCCTCGATGAGATGGATTGTTTCTGTGAGTGGAGTGGTGGGAATGAGTGTGTTTGAGACGGCGAGGTTGGCACAGGATAGAACGACGTTTAGGGCTCTTGTCCATAGGGTCACTATGAGTCGCAAACAACTCAATGGCACATAACAACAACAACTTGCAAACCACTATCAAACAAAGAAAGGTATGTGGCAAGACTGCTGGCTGTCAGCTGCCCCGCCGCCCTGCCCCCGAGGCCCGGACCTACCTGAGTGGGACCGGTAATTCTGGTACAGCTGGTAGATCCTGGTGGGTTTGCGCACGGCGCACTGCTTGTTGGTGGTGTTCCTGCTGGCATAATGGAACAGGGAGCGCAGGTCGCTGAAGCGGAAGGACACACCCTTCATGATGCCCTGGGCCGTGTCCCCCGTGAGGAACATGGCGTTGGGGTCGTTGATACACTTCATCAGCAGGGCTAGCTCGGCCTGGGTGAAGTCCTGAATCTCATCCCCGTAGAGCTCGTGTATGGACCAGGGGAGCACTTTGAGCTTTGACAACCTCTGCGACAGGCTGTAGAGCAGGTCCTCTTCATCGAAGTAGCCTTTCTGAGACCTGATCTGCTGATACAGGAGGAAGAGGCTGTAGATCTCGTGCCGATCTTCCCTAAAATTGGGGGACCGCTTCCTCCCCAATTTCTTATAGACATCTTCAGTCAGCCACCCCTGGGGGCAGCTGAGCGCCTCAAAAGAGCCTTTCAGGAAAGACTTGATTTCCTTCCAAATCAGTGCAGGGTTATAGGAGGTTTTCCCTTTGGTCATCTTGGGCCATATCTCACTGGCAAACACCTCGAAGGTCACGTACACCCGGGGGTCGCTGTCGCCCACGCGAGCTTCGGCAGCTTTATCCTCTTCCCCGTGGTCCCTTTCCACCTCGGCCTCCTCCTCTTCCTCCTGCCAGTTAAAGATGGACAGCTCGTCCTGCATGGACCATCCCAGGATGGTTCTCTTCAGGCTGCCGTCTTCGTTTCTCAGGAAAAAGGGCGCCGGCAGGGACGCGTCGAGAAGAAGGAGCAGCTGCTTGGACGTGACAAACAGCGGGAAGTTTTCGTCCTTCAGGTCCTGGAGCCTGTGCACGGTGGGCTCCAGGGGTCTGTAGTGGCTGGCGCACTTGGTGGACTTGCAAAGCTCAATAAAGTTCCTCTGCACCTCCTGGCACAGGACGTGGTTCTTGGTGACGAAGATCTGATGGAGGTGCTCCAGCTGGGGCGAGTGATCGGACACACGAGGTCGCGCGGCTCGGCTCTCCCCTCGACGACGCCCCACACGGGGTCCCCGCACGCCAAGGTCGCTGTCCGGCTCCTCCTCGGCCTGGCGCTCTGCGGCCGGCACTCTGACGGAGCTCTCCCTGCGCTTGTCTTCCTCCTCCCTCTCCTTTGCCCAGCCTGGACGCTCTTTTCCAGGCTCCATGCCCGGACCCTCTTTTCCAGGCTCCATGCCCAAGCTTCTCTCCAGCCAGACCTGTCTGGCCAGCAGCGGGCTCCTGGCCTGCTTCGCTTTATCCCAGTAAACGTGGAACTTCTTCCACAGCCTGTAGAGGCAGCACGTCGTCTTCCCGGTGCCGCTGCGGCCGATGAGGATGATGGGCTCCAGCGGCTTGGGGTTGAGGCCGATCACGGCGTGCTCCAGCTCGCCCACTCGGAAGGGGTACTCCACCGTCGCCGTCGCGTCATTGAGGATGTTGAAGGCCATGTTACTGCTGAAGCTGTGGAACTTCATGATGTTGTACTCCGTCTCCACCGAGCTGGCCGGGGGGAAGTACTCAGGATCCAGGTGCGCCCGGTCCTTCTCGGCCTCGGTGTCCTCCACGTAGCAGCGGGGGATCCAACGCTGCACCTTCATGTTGGTCAACACCTGGCTTTTGTTGATGCCCTTCAGCTTCTTCCGCAGAACGCAGGACTGGCCCCGGCTGTAGGCGCTGCAGATGGCCCGGATGGAGTCAGACAGCTTGCAGTGATCCAGGACGATGTCCCAGATGCGAATGATTTCGGTGTAGATCCGCCCGGACTTCTCCAGGCAATGGGCGCTCTGCTCAGCGGCCACGATCTTCTCCGGGTTCTCGCTGCACCGAGGGGAGAAGTCGATGGCGAGCTCCCACAGCATCCGGGCTCCCTTGTCCAGCTTGGCTTCGAAGAGCTGGATGTTCCCTTTGAGGTGCTTCAGCTGCTTGTGCAGGCTGTAGGTCCACTCACCGTTGCCCAGCTTCTGGATGCAGAAGATGACCTTCTTCTTGATGATCTTGGCCGTGGTCTTACTGGAGAGTTTCTTGAGCATCTCCGAGGTACACTCGATCTCCCAGGTCATGTTTTCGAAGTCCTGGAGGCACACGTCGACGTCCCGCATGTTCCAGTCCTCCTGAGCCAAGGTGTCCTCTCTCCCACTCTGGACGACGGGAAGGAGCTGCACAGCCCGGGGGCCTGCCTGGATGTGTCCTTCCGGGGCCTCTGGGAGAGCGGGGCTGTGCTCCCTGCAGACGGAGCTCCCCAAACCGGAAGCCTGCTGGAACGCGTCCTTCTTCACCTGTGTACCTGCTCCTGCCACCAAAGGCTTGGTGCCCGGAGAACAGTCCCCTGGCAGGAACATAACCAAGTCGACCCGCTGAATCAACACCATGATGTCCTGCATGAGATAGTCTCTCGGAGAGCACGGGTCGGAGTCCTGCCGGGTCAGGTGGCCATCAGCGAGACTCTCCCAGCTGTCAGGGACCACTCCGTCTGGCAGGGACGTGACACCTCCTGGCAGAGACTTGAGCGAGCCCTGAGACCGGAGCTGGGCGATCTGGCCGGGGCCCATGGGCCTCATGAACCTCCCCAGGTGGGCCGCAGAGTCCTGTCGGCCCTTCCGCCTGCTCTCCACCAGAGCTTTGTTCCAGGCCAGGAGCAGAGGGTCATTCTTCTTGATCCGGTGCCGCGCGTCTTTGCCCTCTTTGTTCTTCAAGCTGAAGTTGATGTCGAACTTGGCCAGCAATTCCAGCAGCTTCTTCATGCGTTTCAGCATACCTCTCTGGAAGAGGATGTGCATCAGCGTGTTCCCGTTGCTGTCCTGGACGTTGGGACTCAGGTAATCAAACTGGACGGGGTCAGACCAGTAGAGGCTCAACAGGAAGCTGAGGAAGTCAAAGCCAATGTCAGCTGAAAGACAAAAGAAAAACCAAACAAGACCTTGTGAATGTTAACTCATGTTTCTCAGAAGACTGCGAAGACCCTTGGGGCTTGAGAGAAGCCAGCTAGGGGCATCTCAGAGCACAGTATACCCCCTAAGCATTTGAAATCCAGTAAGTAACCCGGAGGCTCTCAACCAAGGCACATTCTGGTCCCCAGAGAACATCTGGCAACGTCTGGAGTTGCTTTTGGTTATAACAGCTAGGAATAGGGTTCTAGTGGGTAGAAAGAAGCCAGGGATGCTGTTAAACACCCCACAGGCTCATCCAACACGGCCTCAACAACAAAGAAGTATCCAGCTTAAAGTACCAATAATACTGAGGCTGAAAAAGCTTAAAATACCCTTGTAACAATCCATTAAGACCCTATCTATTGCTGTTGTGGTGTATACCTTCAAGCCGGGACCAACTCACAGCTGACCCTTCAACTGGTTGTCAGAGGCAGTAAATCGCCTGAAAGGAAACTGCCCATCTTTCTCCCACAGAGCACCTGGTGGACTCGAACGATGCGTCTTTGGGATAACAGTACAACTCCTTACCACCAAGCCATCAGAGGTCCACAGGATGTGTAAATAAAAAGAAAGTATTTGCCGACTCCCAACATGACCCATCTTTGGGTCTTAATGAACCCACCCTCACCACGCACCAAGCTGCCCACTTCTTCTGTTCAGGCTACATGTGAGAGGTCAGGGCACACGGGCCAGTTTCTTCCTCAAGGACAACACGGAGGACTTACCGTTTACATCCAGGAAGATATGCAGGGCCGCGTGTACGGGGGTGTCGCCGTCCACTAAGGTGATGCCTCTTGGCGACGCGCCCTTGGTCAAGAGAAGGAAAGCCAGCTGCCAGTCATCGTGCTTCAGGCACAGGGTCAGGGGGTTCTGCTGGCTCCTCTGGAGACCCCCGGGCAAAGCTGGTGGGAGGCAGAAGAGAAGGGCTTGTGAGCCACACCCCTGAGAAGAGGAACAGCCTGTGACGTGAGAGGGACCACTCAGCTCTATGGGACCAAGCGCAGATTCGATGCTGACCTTGACCTCCAAGCCCACCTACCACCACCCATCCTTAAGACAAAGGTTCCCGGCACCCTCTGGGTCAAAGTCCAGACTCTCTGAGAGTCCTCCTCGGAGGCCCTGCCTCTCCCACCACAAAAAAACACAATGCTGCCATGAACAATCTCCTAGAATGAGGACAGGCTGTTGGTCCAACAGGACAAACTGACATCCCAATATCTGCTCAAGTCCATGTTCCACACAGGTCTGCTCACAGAAGATCAGTACTGCTCCCTTCATCTGTGTTTCAATCACTTCCACCCTAAAACACATGCCTACCTTCAGCTGCCATCCCTCCTGACACCCCCTCGCCCCCACAGCACCTTCTCTTTAGCTCAGCTGATGCATCGCCTCTGTGCTGTGGGCTCCCAGCCACCCCCACAAGGCAGTCTCGCCCACTAACAGGCAGCAGCCCCCCGCCCCATGCACACCCCGAGGTAGTCATCCTGTCAGATCTGAGGCCTGGGCTGCCAGCCCTCAAGCACAGGTAGGAGCTCTGAACATGTGAACTCGAGCGGAGGATAAAACAGGCGTCCCGGAACAGCCGGCGGAGTGGTGCTCCACAGAAAGGAGAAGTCTGAAGACACACTTCCCACGAGGCACCCTCCTTCCCTCCTGAACGCCTGGGGGAAAGCCAACGCCCAGGTTTTACATTCTCCTACTTTGAGAGAGGAGAGCCAGTCTGACAATATGCTGTAGTTCCTTATTTTCCCCGTAAATGACAAAACAGGCAGGAAAACCACACAGCCAAGGCTCTCAGCGAGGAGCGAGCACGCATTATCTCATTTCATATTCACAATAAGAAACAGAAAGCATCATCATTTCATTCTCACAACTGAAGAGGAAAAGCAAAACCAGCACACCGCCCGAGGCCGCAGTTGGTGGTGGTGGTAGCGCGGGCGAGGGCGGGAGAGGAATGGTGTTTCTAAACGAGTTTAAAAATAAACGCCAGCCCAGCAATGCGTTCTGCACACTCCAGACACAGTCCCAGCCATGCGTGATTGTCCCGATTAAAGCAGATGTCGCCACTCACCAACTAATCGGTGGTTTCTTTAAAAGCAAGCATCTCAAGCTCTCACGCGCTGACGAGAAAAGGCGGCCTCAAAAAGTGGCAGGGATGTAACCAGGGCAGTAGGTGCAGGGGGAGACCGGGCCAGGGGTCAGGGGCAAAGGGCCACTGTGGTTAAACCAGAGTGGGGCGCCCTCCGCACACCTCAAGTTCCTCACACAACAGAAGAGGGGAGCACAGCAGGGGAGACCGGGATTCACACTGACCAGAGTTCCTGGAGGGGTAAGACTCCCTAAAACCAAGCGAGCTTGTCGCTGTCAAGTGGATCAGGACTCGCGCGGTGACCCCATGTCTTACAGAGGACAACTGCGCCATTGAGTTGCCTTGACCGTAATATTTAGGGCAGCAGATTATAAGATCTGTGTCCTGTGGTGCTACTGGGCAGGTGTGGGCTCAAACTCCCAACCTCTGTGCTGGTCGTCCAGTGCCAACTGTGTGTCCTAGACAGACACCACGCCCCCAAACGAGATATTAATCCCATCGCTGTCTCAAGACAAGGAGACAGAGGGGAAAGAATAAGGCAGAAGCTCAAGGAGTCGAAGAGAAGAGGGAGAGGAAGATCTGTGCTGTGCAGTGGCCCCCAACCCCGAGTGGGAGGGCCTTCCAGCATTTATCCTGTCAGCTGCTTTACCTCCACTGTCTACGAGGGAGAAGACCCTGTGCTGTGCAGTGGCCCCCAACCCCGAGTGGGAGGGCCTGTCAGCTGCTTTACCTCCACTGTCTACGAGGGAGCCCAGGAGCTGGATCCTTCGCTGGTCCCAGCAGCTGAGCTGCGGGATGATGGCACTTAGGTCCAGGTCGGCGAGATCACAGTTTTTGATGACACACTCTCCAAACGGCGGCTCCCCGCTCACTTTGCGGGTTAACAGCAGAAGGACTTCGGGCCACTTCTGCTTTTCCAGCAAGTACTTGACGAAGACGCTGGCACAGTCATGGTTAATGTCACACACCAGGTCAGGAGGGATTTCTGTCCAAGAAAAAAAAAACAAAACACCCCTCAACAAACACAGGTCCACATTATTTCAATTCATTCCCCAATACATGGGTATTTCATTTCACACCCGTATTTTTCCAACACCGGAGAGACGACAAACAAGTAATTAATTATTTGGAGCGGGGAGGTTATTTAACCATTTGTGAACCCAAGTATAAACATGAACCCTCAAGAATTAGTTATACTGTATGGAAAATACCATACTTGCTAAGGCAGGGCAGCACAGTAACGGTTTTATATGTTTTATAGCAGAAAATTTGCGTTCAGGATAGTTAAAGAAGATCAGAAAGGAAAAGTCTGATTTGCGTTTCGCATGATTTCAAGGACATGATGTGCTCAAAAATGGTGACATCCTAAATATCCCACCCACGGGCACCGAGCTGATTCCTACTCTGGGCCACCCGCTCAGAGAGAACAGAACAGCTCGCTGGGCTCCTAACACGCTCAATCCTTCTGGAGCAGCACATCCTCCTCTATATCCAATGAAGAGACTGCGGAGTTCAAACTGCCACACTTCTGACCAGCACCCAAATTCTTTAACCACAGCACCACCAGAGCTCCCTGGAAAATGCTGGAGCACAATTAAAACGACAGGGGCTGCTGCATTATGATGAGACGGGTCATCTCCAGCTCTGAACTTTATAGCGGGATACATCAAGTGTTGCCACAGGACCCCCGACGCCTGCAGGCAGGACGGCAGTTATTACAGTTCACACTGCTACGGATTATGAGCGAGAAGCATTTCACACAGCTCATCGGTGATGAAATGTGCAAGTTTATATAAGAAACAGGATAAATTTGAATTTTAGATAATTAACAAGTTTTTCAATATAAAAATGTGAGTGCAATATTTTGCACGTGTATTTTAGCTGTAAAGTCTATTAAGAAGAAAGCAGGATGGCAGAGAAGAGAGGGAGCCCTTTAGATCAAGGATTATCTAAATGAAACCCACTACGATTTACACTGACTCAGTTCTGCTCTTTCTACTGTTGTTGTGATGGACAGAAAAAGAATTGATGCCTTTGAGCTGTGGTGCTGGAGAAGAGTGTTGAATATACCATGGACGCTAGGAGAACAGACAGGTTTGTCCTGGAGAGGGTGAAGCCAGGCTGCTCCTTGGAGGCAAGGATTCTGAAGCTTCGTCTGACATACTTTGGACAATGTTGCAAGGAGAGACCAGTCCTTGGAGAGAGACATCATGCTTGGGAGGGTGGAGGGACAGCGCAGGAGAGGAAGGCCCTCGATGAGATGGATTGACAGTAAGTGGAGTAATGGGGGTAGGTAGGTGTGTCAGAGACAGTGCGGTTGGCACAGGACAGAGCAGGGTTTAGGGCTCTTGTACATTGGGTTGCTATGAGTCGCAAACCACTAGACGGCACATAATAACAATTGTTGTTGTTAAATGCCGTCAAATCATCTTACAAGAGTCATCATATAATTTGAACTCGGCTCTATCCTGAGCCAATCACTCAAGCTCAAAAAGCAAGCCTTGCCGTCAACTCAGGACTAACCTGTAACTGATCCTTTCAGGGGTTTTAGAGGCTGTAATTCACCGAGGAGGAGACAACCCATCTTTCCCTCATGGAGGGTCTGGTGGAGAAGAGCCACCAGGAAGGAGCCACCTTTGTGGGTTAACAGTGCAACTCCTAACACCACCAGAACTCGGTCTGCTAAACTGAAATATACTCCTTTCAAAGAAAAAAACACTGTGAACACAGGCTATTGCTTTATCGTATTAGGAAATCAGCCGAACAAAAGTATAAAATATAAACATCTATAATAAGCTTTGGTCATTCTGCCCCCCCACTCGCCTTCTGGGAACAGCACTCCCAGGCAGTCTCCATTCTGTGTAGCAGGGATTGTTGTTGTTTTCAGGTGCCAGCAATTCACCTACAACTCCCAGCAACCGTATGAACAGCAGATCCAAACCCTGTCCTCTCCTGTGCCGTCCGTGCGATCTCAGACACGCTCGAGCCCCTACTCCAGTCAGTCACCGTGTCGATGTATCTTGTTGGGGGTCCTCAGTGGACCCTCATCTTTCTAGGGTCCGGTCTCTCCTGATAAAATGTCTATAGTTTGTGAGAGGAAGTGTCATCAGCCTTGCCTCTCAGGCGCACCCTGGCCACCATGTGTCCAGTACAGACTCCTCTGTCCCCGTCTGCATTTTATCTGCATCCGTGAGCACGTTTGTGTGTGTGGCGATGAGCCTCTTGTCCCTCCCCTTGGGTAGTTGATCTTGGGAATCCTCTTTTATCTTGAGTCATTCATATCCGAGGCAGACAGGTGGCAAAGCCTCGTTTCAATTCACCGGAATTGCTAATATATTTTAGTATTTTGGATTTTTTTTTGGTAGGACACTATACTGAGTGCTAGGGCATGTTGCTAGGAGACGTTATTCCTTGGAAAGGGAGGGACATCACGCTTGGGGAGGTGGAGGGACGGCGAAGGAGAGGACCTCAACCGAGTGGACTGACACGGTGACTGCAGCAACGGGCTTGAGGGAGCCAGATATTGTGATGACGGCACAGGACAGGACAGGACAGGGTTCAGATCGGCTGCACACAGGGTTGCTATGAGCCGAACTCGACTCAATGGCACCTAACACCACCAACAGAAAAAAAAGTAGGGGGAAAGAAAAAGAAGACTTTTCTATTTATTGGTAAAGGCTATTAATCCAATCTAATAAAAGGATAAAACTGAACCACAAAAAAATAAAAATTCTCTCTTGAGGTTAGTTCCCTCAAGTACGACAGAGTTGAAGAAAATAAAGATGTTGAGCAGTTAAATATTCCATAAGCAGTCGAGCAAAGACCTGAATGTAAAATCCCAAGCCTATGAACACAATGTGCAGGCTGTCCTTTAAAGTACAGCTGGATGCTTTAGTCAAATCCTGCCACCGTCTCCACAAAACTGGTCCATCTCAGGCCGACAGTCAGGCTGAGGTGAACGCTTCAGCAGTCCATACTTACTGTCAATTTTATAAATGCTGAATTTTACTTGGGATTTCTAGAATCTTCTCTGGTTTCCTAAAGGTGTTTATCTTTTCTAAAAGGGTCCTGAATTACCTCTCAGGGGGGAAAAAAAGATCATTCAATCATATGTTGTTGTTGCTATGTGCCCTTGAGTCGCTTGCAACTCACAGTGACCCTATGTACAACAGCCCTCAACTCTGCTCTGTCCTGTGCCAATCGCACTGTCTCCGATACACTCATCCTGATTACCCCAGTCACTAAATCAATCTATCTCAAAGGGGGCCTTCCCCTTCTGCGCTGTCCCTCCACCCTACCAAGCATGATGTCCTCTCCAAGGACCTCTCCTTCCTTGCAACATGTCCAAAGTATGTTAGATGGAGCCTCAGAATCCTTGCCTCCAAGGAGCCCCCAGTTTAACCCTTTCCAGGACGAATCTGTTTGTTTTCCTAGCAGTCCAGGTATTCTCAATACTCTTCTCCAGCACCACAACTCAAAGGCATCAATTCTCCTCCTATCCTCCTTAGTCACTGTCCAACTCTCTGATGCTTAACAGGTGATTGCAAAGACCATGGCCTGTATCAGACGCAACTTAGTCTCCAAAGAGACACCATTGCTCTTTGGTACTTTGGAGTATTTGGAATCACAGAAGCCAAGGAAGCTTCAGATATAATCTATCAGATTCAATCATATAGTAACTTTATATCCCCACATCAGACAATATCAAGTGGAGAGAAAGAGACTGAGCTACAGTGTTTTGAAATTACTGAATATTCCCAAAAGCACCTGGTTCGAATCCACCAACTGCTCTGAGGCAAAAGGATGGGCAACCTCATTCCGTGCGATTAAGATGCTTCTGAAAACTGGCTGGAGATCAGGTACGAGTCAGTTTTATTTACAGGGAGCTCTGGGGGCCCAGCGGTAGGAATGTGCCCTGAAATCTCAAAAATTATTGAACAGACAAAGAGTAATCCTAGGAGAAATCACTAACAGAAGTTGTTTAAGGACAGAGGAGGCTGACACACTTTTCACCAATGGCCCTTTCACTCCTGGAATGTTTTACAAGGAGACACACGTGCTCTTTTCCCCATTCAATTTGTAAACATCTATCCTGTCAAGGAGTTCGAATGAGCATGTGTGACCAGAAGTTACCTTGCAGAGAAGACAGGAGACGCAAGAACCGCTGGACTATCTCCTGCTTCAGAATGTTCCTTTGCAGCGACAGGTTTCCCGAGTTCATGTACTTCACAAGCTGCTCAGAGACCCGCCGGAAAATCTCGATCTCGCTGATGGATCCGTCACCGCTGCTCAGTCCTGCAAAATGACCCCAGGGGACGGTTCTGATGAGCTGCCGGCCGCAGCAAGTTGCCTCCACAATCAATCTCCATCCCGACCTTGTATCCGCATTGCCGATGTGGCCGCAGACCCTCCCCGGGGAGACACAGTGTCCATATACTGCCCCCTGGATTCCGTCCTGCTCTGACTCAGAAAAAGGACAGCGTGCGCCTTCTGTGTGAGCTGAGCGTCAAGAAGCCGTGTCTATGCACACCCATGTTTACTGCAGCTTTATTCACAATAGCAAAGAGCTGGGAACAACCTAAGTGCCCATCAACAAGTGAATGGATAGAGAAGCTGTGGTATATTCACACAATGGAATACTACGCTGCATTGAAAAACAAGGAACTCATGCAATATTATTCAAAATAGGTGACCCTGGAGGACATTATGCTGAGTGAAATATCTCAGTCACTAAAGGACAAATACTGCATAGTGCCACTGTTAAAAAACAAGACCAATATTGGGGTTGCAGGGAAACTAATAAAGATAGGATAAATTACGTATATTGTACTGAAACAGATGAGGGAGAGAACTGTTTAAAAGAGATATATGATTAGGTATTACTGTCATGACAGGAGTCCAGAATGAAGGCTGCATAGTGGAGTGGGATTGTAAAACGATGAAAGAATTTTTCTTTTACTTTTCAAAGAGAAGAGTGAACTAAGCGGGGAGGGTTGGGCAGGGAGAAAAGTACAATAATGAATGAATGAATGAATGAATGAATGGAAATTCAAAGTCTCTGTAAATTTTCATTAAAATTAATCATAATAAAAATAAAAAAAGAAGCCGTGTCTAGTTCAAGTGGCTCTCGAGTCCCTGGGGTTTGCCATGGGAGCAGTGCCACGCTGGCCTGCTGGTTGAGGAAAGAGAGAACAGAGTCAGATGCAGCTGTGTGCACAGAGACCTCAGACATGTGGACGACTCTGGCCAAGATCCGCAAAGACAGAGTTCAGGCAAGGATGTGGAAAAAGTGGAACCCAGGGCTGACAGTAATGTAAAATGAATGGTAGCTTCTGTGAAAAGGAGTTTAGTACTTGCTCCCTGAAGCACAGGATTACCATGTGACATTCCACTCTTAGGTACATACCCAAAAGAACTGAACACAGAGACTCAAATAAATATATGCCCATAGCAGCACTAGTCACCAAGGCAGAAAACGCCCAAAGCCCCATCCACAGATGAATGGATCAACAAAAGGTAATATATCCACACAACTGAACTCTGTTCTTCCTGATAAAATAGTGATGCCTGCTACAACCTGGATGAGCCTCTAAAATATTATGCTGAGTGAAATAAATCAGACAGAAGATAACATATGATTTCATTGATATGAAAGATCCAAAATAGGTAAATTGACAGAAACACACCCCAGACTAAAGCATGTATAACACTGTCTGGCTAGCATTCCAGGACACGATCCACGTCCCTCTTCCCGAAATACCTCTAAAGATATGGAAATAGTGGAAACTCACAGTACAGAAACTATGACTAGCTGCCTCCTTTTTCTCTCTGTCCCGGGTCATTAAAAGCTTTTTTGAAACATCAATCTTCCCCCAGGGAAATTAACTCAGCGCAAAAATGCCTTGAAACTGAACAAAAATCAACTTTGACGACAGAAACAATTAGATGCAGATGTACAATAAGATGCATGACTGTTGTGTTCAGATTAGTTTAAAAAGTTACAAATGGTACAACCACTCTAGAAAGTAGTTTGGTGCTTCCTCAAAAAAGCAGAATATACAAATTCCATATGACCTCGCTATTCTAGTACTAGGAATGAGACACAAGTGGGAATTTGTACACCAATGTTCATAGTGGCTTTATAAACACTGGTTTATATTCACAAACACTGGTGATTATTCACAATTCTAAGAACATGGAAACAGCCTGAATGTCCAATCACAGCTGAATGGATTGAGAAAGTGTGGTACATTCACATGATGGAATACTATGCAGAACTCAGGAGCAATGATTCAAACAATACAACATAACTTGTGTGGGACTGGAGAGCATCACGATGATTGAACTCAGTCTCATCAGGCCAAATACTGCATAAAACCATTATTGTAAAAACAGAAGGATTATTAGCAAAATGTGTATGAGGGTCCAAGGGGGGAAGGTGAGGGAGTTATCAAGGGTGAGGATAGGTAGCAGGTAAGTCACGGGACTGCACAATTCAGTGGGTGGAGGGAGGGGGTAACGAAAATGGGAAAGATAAAGGGAAGACATGAAAAGATGGGGTAATGGTGGACGCAGTCCAATGGGGATTAATGTTATAAAACAGTGTATGGGGCTGACTGTATGAAACACAATGTGAATGGAGGAAATTGTGAAACACTTGTATATGAATTTTGTATACAAGCAAATAAAATTTAAACAATTTTAAAAAAGAGAGTTACAGATGATTACAAAAAGTGAGGCTGAAGGAAAGAAATTAAAGAAAGATCTTAGCTGTATGAAAAATGCATGTGATTAATTGTGCTAAAAGAAACTAGCAACGGAATCAAGACTTGTTCATACGCTAAACTTTTCTGAACTATTGTCCTAAATTTTGTATAAGCTTAATAAGAGGCAAATATCAGAACACAAAATCACTTATATATTATATTCACAGTTGTTTTTTTAAAAAAAGATGACTAGGTAAATGCTGGAGGGGAAAAAAGACTTGATCAATATGCTAAAGTATACATATAATGTGTTTTTATCTTTTATGTGACTATATGTACTTTTACATTATTTTATTATTCATTTTAATGAAGTAACTATATCTTCTTAAAATTTTCTATAAATGCCAACACCTACAGCAGGGATATACAAGTAGATTTTACATTAAAGAGATCTTCTAACACTGGGATAGTGCTCAGAAATATAATAGACATAGATCACTTCAAAAAGAAAGATTCTTTTTTGCCTGAAGTCTTCCCTTCCAGTTATAAAGAGCAAAAATATTTCTAAGCTTAATTAAGCACAACTTGAACAATTTAAATGTATATACTCATCCCACCTTCATAAAAGAAAATGAAACAAAATTATAAAAGTACAAACATATTCAATGGCAGGGAGGGATGTAATTGCATGGAGAATGATTCTTTTCTGCTTTCCTTCCCTACATTTTCTAAGAGAAAAATGCATTTTATAAAAAGGAAACAAATTATTCTGGACTTTCTCCATGTAAACCCACCCCTGCATGTGCATCTTGCTGGTGCCAGGGATGCCAACATGGCCAGTCACAGCCTCTGAGTGACCAGCTCGATCACTGGGAGACTGTCAGGGAAGGCTCCCTCCAGTGTTCTTCAAGCTACACTCAACGGTCAGCGAGATGCTGTACAAATGCAGCCTAAAAGCAGCTGGCTTCCCCCTGGAGGAGAAGAGAGGGAAGCTTCCAGAGACTTCGATTTCAGCTCACCGCATTAAAAAGAAAAAAAAATCATGTCCTGGTGAGTCAGAGAGAGCTGATCACAAACAACCCTGCAAGAAACAAAAGCTCAAATCTAACTCTCTTCCCAAGGAGACAGGTGAGCAGCAGTGGCTGCGTGGACATGCTGCCATCTGGTGGTGGCTGTCCATGATATGTGCAACACTCTTTCCCAGCACCACAACTCAAAGGCATCAATCCTCCTCCTATCATCCTTAGTTACTGTCCAGCTCTCTGATGTATAGCAAGTGACTGCAAAGATCATGGCCTAGATCAGGCACACCTCAGTCTCTAGACTGATATCACTGCTCTTCAGTACTCTAGCGAGGTCCTTGGCAGCAGAGTTTCCCAACGCAATTTTTATTTCCTGATAGCTGGTGCCAAGAGTCGTAATCATGGAACCAAGCAAGCTGAAGTTAATCTCAATCTCTTCTCTATCCCCATCATGAATGAAACTGCCAATTGGCCCAGTGGTGAGAATCTTTGTCTTCTTGAGGTTGAGCTTCAATCCATATTGAAGACTATGGCCCTTGACCTTCTGCAGCAAACGTCTCTTTGTAGCACGCACTAAATCTAATTCAATTAGAACTAATTAAAGAAAGCTAAAGTCTGCTCTTCAAAAGGACAAATACTGCATTAGGGCCACTGTTGTAAAACGGGACTGACATTAGGGTTGGGAGGAGACTGAGAAAGAGGAGATAAATGATGTATACTGCACTGAAACAGATGAGGGAGAGAACTGTTTAAAAGTGATATATGATTGAGTATTATGGTTATGACAAGAGTCCAGAATGAAGGCTGCACAGTGGAGTGTACTGGGGGGGGGGATTGTACAACATACACCAATGAAAGAATTTTTCTTTCACTTGTCAAAGAGAAGAGCAAACTGTGGGGGAGGGGTGGGCAGGGAGAAAAATGCAACAATGAATGAATGGAAACCCAAAGTCTCTGTAAACATTCATTAAAATTAATAATAAAAAAATACAAAGTCTGCTCTTAAGGTTCATAAGCCACACATCTTTCTTGTCCTCAGAGCTGCATTCAATGTGCCTAGTGGACTATCAGATCAGATAAAGTAGATACAAGATGTTCCCATCTTTGTAGAAATGGATAGCACTGACCTAAAAAGACCCTTCCTGTACCACCCCAGTGTTCACATGCTTGCAACTAGCCAACTCATAGAACAAGAATGTTCACTTGCAGCACTATATAGCAACAGAGATATGGAAAGAAACAGAGATATTCTCAGTAAATAATTCCACACAGAGACTATATTCAGAGATTGAATTCTGTAAAGGTTCCACTGCCAGGAGTCATTTGAGAAACAGGTTTTTTTATTTCTAGCCTTTTTTAATAACTATCACCTCTTTTCTTCCCCCATTTTTATCAGTTCTTCTTACTTTTTGACTCAGTAATGCACTACAATCGTTCAAAGCAGGAGCTCTGGCCTAGCAGCTCCTAGTGGCTGTGCTGAAATCCCAAAGGCACATGGTTCGAGTCCACCAGCTGCTCCACAGGAGAAGGATGGGCAATCTCCTCCCATGAGAATTACTGCCTCTGA